CAGTTTTCCAAACATGGCAGTATTTCCAAGATTGACTTGCCGACCCCAATTTTTCTGTTTGGTACATAAGCCTGAAGACTTTGTGTGTGTTTCCTTTCACTGAAGCTTTCTGGTTCAGTTTATTCGCCTGATCAAAATAATCTGCTGAGTAAGTAACGCGTTTCTTCCAAACTTCATCATCAAGGTGAGCCAGGAGGGAATGTGCCTTTTCACTTCCAGAAACAACATGATTTCATTTTGCAGCTCCAAGACACGACTGGCATTTCCTTTTGACAAGCACCCATCAGCAGTGTAGAAGAAAGAAAAGAACCTTGTGATCAGAGTTCATATCTTTGCAGAGTTACTTAAACAGACGGGCACCAACTTTGATGTAATTCACGATTTTGATCAGAGAATCTGGCACCTCCTGCAGAGGGGGCTGGAAGAGCATATCGGTCGATCATGCACTAAGTGCCCTTGCTTGAGGAGCAAGTTCTTTCACTTTCGTCCGGTAACTCGACTTTGACCTTTGAGCTGCTGCTCCATCTGTACAAACCTCGTGGAAGTTTTTATCACTATAGTCCCTCAGTCCTAAAAGAGTGCAAATCTTCTCCACAGTATCTTCAGCCTTTGTAGTTGTTTCAAGTGCACAACAAAATAGGAATTCTTCTTTGGTGTCATCTGAATGAATATGCCACGAAAGCAAACAACTGAATATACTTCACTAAAACAAACAACTGAATATACTTCACTGAAACAAACAAACTCATTATACTTCACTGAAACAAACAACTGAATATACTTCATTAAAACAAACAACTGAATATACTTCATTAAAACAAACTGAATATACTTCACTAAAACAAACAACTGAATATACTTCAATAAAACAACTGAATATACTTCAAAACAACTGAATATACTTCAATAAAACAACTGAATATACTTCAATAAAACAACTGAATATACTTTACTGAAACAAACAACTGAATATACTCCACGACCATAACCATGTCGATATTATTGCATAAGGCTGTAATGTCCTCCTTCTATATCTTCTATTCCTCTCTCTTCTCTTTCCTTTACCCCATCCCCCTTCCCTTGCCTTCTCTGCCTGTGCCCTCTGCACTATCTCAAATCCGTAAAAACTACACAAACCTTGAAAAACACTTTAAAAAGAGGACAAATCCCCGAGGTAGTGCGGCCAGCATGCGAGCGCGTCACGTGGTCTCGGGCTAGGCCTCGCTACAACACACAAGCCTAGCTCGATATCGCGTTTTACGCACCGGATTTTCTCTAGCAGCCACGGGTTTCCTGTGAGGCGGAGCCACAGCAACCTGCCACCGACAGTTGGCTTTGTTTACAACCCAACACCCAGAGCCTCCCCCATATCCCAGTAAACACCACTTCTAAAACCTGGGAATACTGCGCTTAAATGCACGCAGTCTGCTCGGTTGGGTGGCTTTGTTTGGGGACGGTTTTTGAGCGCTCTGTTGCCGAGGGTAGGTGTCATGCTTGCTGGTGCTGGTGAGGTTTTTGTTGCGATGTTCCCTTTCTTGGTGGCGGAAGTGTTGGTGGAGTGGGGAAGAAAGGTGGAGAGAGGGAGGAGAGGGGAGATCTTGGGGAAAATGTTGGGGAAGGTTGAAGTGGGAAGATAGGGAAACAGATGAGATGGGGGGAAGGAGAGAGACCCGGGTGTAGCCGGGTACCGTCCCCTAGTACACAATAAAACAATCTAGTCAATATATATAGAGATCCCGCACCTGAGCCGACCTTCAGGCTACTTGTAGGCTATTATACCTATGCAACACCATTGCATTTCTGTGTAACATCACTATTTCTTGGCAACAAAATGTTACTGTATTAGTATTCAATACCGTTGTACTGCTGTATTACTGTATCAGTGTATTGTGGAGCAACACCAATATATTGCTGTATTATTGAACAACACCATTGTATTATCGGACAAAACCATCACTTTGTTTTATCATGCGGTGTCACTGTATTGTTGTATTTCATCTATTCTGGGCAACATGATCGCAAGAGCTAATGAGATATTTAACTCTGACGTCATAACTTGGGGGAATAGGCATCTTAGTCGATAAGATCGTCTGAATGTGTGTGTGACGTCAGCACAAGATATTATTTTTGTTAGTGCTCACCGGAGATCCTTATCTTTTTAATAATAATTATCAGGAGGTATGAGGGGAGGATAGGAGCTGGGAGAGAAGGAAAGGTACCTAACCACTTGAACCGTTGGGGATCGAACGCAGACCTACGGGAAGCGAGGCGTCGTAGTACCGTCCAGTCCAAGTGGTTAGACCCTAATCTGTATAATCTCATTTGAATATAAACCAACAGAGTATTTGTTCATGTAGACTTTAGTTCATATTTCCCAGACTAGGTAACTAATTTAAGGCAGCGTTCGTTGGGCAGCCAAGGTTTTGTGGGTGAAACCTTCGTACTTACATAGTGGGACTAGAGTCAATGAAAGAGATACAGTATGAGTGTACTTCCCTAATTGAACATGAAGGGGTTGAGCTTCAGACACTCTCTCTCAATTTATTTATTATTTGACTTTATTTATTATTCCTTTATTATTGCCCTTACTCTTCTGTCTTCCAGTGTCTTGAAGTGCATTTCACGCAGCCTTTCCTCGTAACTCATGCCTCTTAGTTCTGGGACTAGCCTAGTGACATATCTCTGAACCTTTTATGGGTGTGTATGGGTGTGTGTGTGTGTGTGTGTGTGTGTGTGTGTGTGTGTGTGTGTGTGTGTGTGTGTGTGTGTGTGTGTGTGTGTGTGTGTGTGTGTGTGTGTCTTGAGGTGTTTTATTGTTAAACCTGAGTTTATGACTGTACTAATTATTGTTTGAAACACCTCGTGTAACTCATTTCGCTTAGGCCTATTCCTAACACTCGCACTAAATAAGTGCTTTCAACCTTGCCCCATAAATCCATTGATTTTTTCATTTGAACCTCTCTCCAACAAAGCCACTCAAACCCAACAAAACAATTCCCACATCCACCCCCAGCCCGGTGGAAGGGCGCGGGTGGAGGAGGGGTAAGGTTGGTGAAATGGGGCGGTGGAATGAGGGTGGTGGTGGAATAGAGGGGAATGGGGTGGTGGAATAGAGGGGAATGGGGTGGTGGAATGAGGGTGGTTGGGCCAATGACCACAGCGCCACGTAATTAGGTCAAGGTGGGGAACGTTTGATTACTGGTCCCTTGAAACGTTGGCAGCAGCAACACCACCCTGGACCACACTCACCATTCTGGACCACCCTCACCACCCTGGCCCACCCTCACCACCCTGGACCACCATCACCACCATGGACCACCCTCACCATCCTGGACCACCCTTACCGCCCTCACCACTCTGGACCACCCTCACCATCCTGGACCACCCTCACCACTCTGGCATACCCTCACCACCCTGGACCACCCTCACCACCCTGGACCACCCTCACCACTCTGGCATACCCTCACCACCCTGGACCACCCTCACCACCCTGGACCACCCTCACCACTCTGGCATACCCTCACCACCCTGGACCACCCTCACCACCCTGGACCACCCTCACCACTCTGGCATACCCTCACCACCCTGGACCACCCTCACCACCCTGGACCACCCTCACCACTCTGGACCACCCTCACCACCCTGGACCACACTCACCACCCTGAACCACCCTCACCACCCTCAGAACCCTGGACCACCCTGGACCACCCTCACCACTCGGGACCACCCTCACCACCCTGGACCACACTCACCACTCTGGACCACCCTCACCACTCTGGACCACCCTCTCCACTCTGGACCACCCTCACCACCCTGGACCACCCTCACCACTCAGGACCACCCTCACCACCCTGGACTACCCTCACCACTCTGGACCATCCTCACCACACTGGACCACCCTCACTACCCTGGACTACCCTCACTACTCTGGACCATCCTCACCACTCTGGACCATCCTCACCACACTGGACCACCCTCACTACCCTGGACCACCCTCACCACTCTGGACCATCCTCACCACACTGGACCACCCTCACCACCCTGGACTGCCCTCACCACTCTGGACCACCCTCACCACTCTGGACCACCCTCACCACCCTGGACTACCCTCACCACCCTGGACTACCCTCACCACTCTGGACCATCCTCACCACACTGGACCACCCTCACCACCCTGGACTACCCTCACCACTCTGGACCACCCTCTCCACTCTGGACCACCCTCACCACTCTGGACCACCCTGGACCACCCTCACCACTCTGGACCACTCTCACCACTCTGGACCACCCTCACCACCCTGGACTACCCTCACCACCCTGGACCACCCTCACCACTCTGGACCACCCTCACCACCCTGGACCACCCTCACCACCCTGGACCACCCTGGACCACCCTCACCACTCTGGACCACCCTCACCACCCTGGACCACCCTCACCACTCTGGACCACCCTCACCACCCTGGACCACCCTCACCACCCTGGACCACCCTCACCACTCTGGACCACCCTCACCTCTCTGGACCACCCTCACCACCCTGGACCACCCTCACAACCCTGGACCACCCTCACCACCCTGGACCACCCTGGACCACCCTCACCTCTCTGGACCACCCTCACCACCCTGGACCACCCTCACCAGCCTGGACCACCCTCACCACCCTGGACCACCCTGGGCCACCCTGGACCACCCTCACCACCCTGGACCACCCTCACCACCACCTATAGCTTCATCATCTAAGCACTAACCTCAAATAACCTCAGTATCACTAAATATATTAAAAATGTTCCGATTATAATACATGAAATGCTTTCAATTCCCGTTCAGACTATATAAGTTGGACTGAACGCAAACATATTTGAATATATGATGTGATTTGATGTTTGTGGAGACATAATTGACGTGATAATATCACTGACAGGTTACTCAAGAGATACGGGCATACGAATTTTTGATGAACTAAGATAAAACTTAAGTCTATCTTCTATGTCGTGTACTCACCTAATCAAGATCTAGTGGTGGTAGAGAGGTTAGAAATCTTTGAATATGTCAGAGCGAGCAAAGATAAATATCCTGGTCCCAGGTGCCAGGGGGGGAGGGGGGGGAATGCGCCACAACAACACCCACTACAACAGTTCAACTTCAACTGAGGTGCGTGTGGTGGTGGTGGTGCTGAGGCTGTACGCGCGTGTGTTCGTTCGCCTTGGTTCAAGCGCAAGCCTTGCCGACCTTCGATTGGTCCGCTGGCTTATGACGTCACGAAGGCGCCTGCTAGCGCCTATGATTGGCTGGACTACTGGTGACGTTTCACCAAAGGTCTGCTCCGAGTGGACGCGCATCTGACGTCATTCAGCATCATTTCACTTAGGCCCATCTGTCACCGAGATCCCCATGAGTTGCTAGCTAGTGTTTATCCAGTATTACACTAAACGTTACGATTGCATTAAAGTATTTAAGTAAAATATTTAAATAGAATACAGATAAAAATTAAATCTGAATATACAAGGACTATACTGATTTATTAATACAAAAATAAATCCCAGAAGGAAGGATAAATATGAGTTACCCACTAACTGGAAACTCTATTAGCTGTAGTAGTATATTCAGTCTGAGACCCAAGACTTGGATACTTAATTCATAAACAGTAGTACAGTCTGACTTGTTTGACCACTTGCTTACACAACCATTGAAGAGTGGTTTTGCGCGCGTTAAACACAAACTTAACCCTCGGTGAAATCATTCACTTATATGATCCTATTTAGGGTTTAATAAATTGTACAAGAATGTAACAACTCTTGTATATATCTCAAAAAAATAATAATAATAGTTAATTAACTTTACCATCTGCACCTCACTGATCATGATACTTTATAAATAATTTGAGATACAATATTGTATAACTTGAAAAAACTTGACCTATTATTTATTCATTAATATACTTTAATGCAACTGATATATTTCACTTATAAATCTAAATATACAGGACGATATATTCTGGACCTTTGATAAATCAACTTTCTACCTTACCTACCTTGCGTTGGTTTCGGGACTCAACGTCCCCGCGGCCCGGTTCTTGGTAAGTATTGTATCTAATACCTACCTTATTTCTTGACTTTTTTTAAGTAATGTTCTATATTTGAATTCAAATAATACAAATTATTTGAATAAGTATGTTATTTTATGTAAATAAATATTATCACAGCTATTATTTTTATCATCATTACTGTTATATAATACAAAATAATTTACCTCAATTTCTCTTAAATAATAAATATTTAATTCCTTATCATATACTAGTAATTAACACATATAAGACAGCATGTTTTACACCTGCAAAATGTTATGTGTATAATTACAGGCCTAATAATGTAAAATTATGTGTACAAGTAATTCACAACATTTATACGTAATTATTATTTAAAATATCTGGAAATTATTTGTATTAGTATCAAATATAGATAAGCACCTCACTATACAGTCACCACTCTGCTGTACTTTTCATCATAGACACAACTTTCTGCTGCGCACGTCACCATTCTGTTGCGCACTTCACCGTAGTCATCATCATTGTGCGCACTTCACCATAGTCATAATTCTTCAACGCCTCACCATAGTCATCATTCTTCTGCGTACTTCACCATACAATCACCATTTAGTAGCGCAACTCATCATAGTCACCATTCTGCTGCGCACCTCATCATTGTTGACGGGAATACATAGATCTTGAGGGGAATATATATCAATATATTATAAAAACAGGAAGACCGCCAACCTCCTTATAAAGAACTAACCAGACACCAAACAGAACGTCTTAAGAGAGACCAACGTCGTCTATGCCTTCACATGCCCACGGGACTATCAGCCTTAAAGATCTCAGTATATAGGCAAGACCACAACGTCTATGCGATTAACAATGCACAAGCAACAGAGGCTCCATCAAGGAGCACATAATCCCCTCACATGACCAGAATCTGACTCTGCACCTATTTTCATTTTCAAATTACTACTTTTTACACCGAAAATATGCCAATTACTGAAAACGGCGATGGGTCATATTTTGCCCAAACCCCCCCCTGCAGTTTTCAAAATTTCTGAAATGTCGGAAATTTGACTCCTGAGCGTGATTTTTGAGCCGAATTCTGACTCTCTGCACCTATTTTCATTTTCAATTTACGACTTTTTATACCGAAAATATGCCAATTACTGAAAACGGCGATGGGTTATATTTTGCCCAAACCCCCCTGCAGTTTTCAAAATTTCTGAAATGTCGGAAATTTGACTCCTGAGCGTGATTTTTGAGCCGAATTCTGACTCTCTGCACCTATTTTTGTTTTCAAATTACGACTTTTTACATCGAAAATATGCCAATTACTGAAAACGGCGATGGGTCATATTTTGCCCAAACCCCCCTGCAGTTTTCAAAATTTCTGAAATGTCAGAAATTTGACTCCCGAGCGTGATTTTTGAGCCGAATCTGACAACCAGACCATCACCAGAGACACCTTTACAAGCAACACTGAAATAATCGACAATTATAACAATAGAAGACTGGACATCAGCGAGGCGCTACACATCAAAAATTCAAGGCCAGCAATCAACAATCAGTTAACACATAATTATCACTTTTCCTTCTGCTGGGTCATGAAGGAAGCCGTCCTCGGGTGAAAGAGGGCTGTGACGATCTCTGTCTGGAACCCGTAGGTGGGGGACCGGGACGTCCACCTCCCTGGGGGTCGTGCGGCCCAGGCTCTGCTTCAGGAGGCTGGAGTCGTTCTTGCCCTTGATGGGGTGGTTCTTCTACGGCCCCGACCTCGGTGGTCTCCGGGTTTGGAGTCCATGTGCCTTTTTTCACCAACTTCGAGGTCAACCCCGGTACTCACAGTTCCTGCGACGGCGCTGGAACCAATCGTACTGGTGTTTGCCTTTCCATTGGAGACTTTTGGCGCCATGGAGAGGAGGGGGGAAGGGAACCTGCTGCATGGGTAACAGCTTCTCCTCCATATCAACCTACCCTGGCTTTGCGCCCTGGAGAGGCCACTCCAGACCGACATCCAGAGCGCAACTCCATAGTCTTCTGAGACTGATGGATGCCTACTACTACATTCTACCCATTTCAAGACCCCGAGCCAACGTAGGGACAGGATCCAATGATCCTGCCATAGAAACACAAGCAGCCATAAGAACATAAGCTTCTTATGTTGATGCATGTAATACCCTATCAATATCCACTATGTTATGTCATTCAGCCACTTGTTCTGTACCACCTCACCTAAAGAGAATACAAGCCTGTGCAAAAGCATGGTAAATTTTAACTAACTATTAACTAAGCATATTAACTAATATGGTAAATCAGTTACAGCCCTGCTCCTGTGTCAGGTAAGTCCACTACGGGCTCATCATACCCCGTGCTACTTGGAACTTTTTGTTCTGAGTAGCTGAATCTAAAACAACAACAACAATGGTAAATGCTTTTGCACAGTACGAGCTCACTATAAAAAATAAGTACGGGCTCACTATAGCCCGTGCTACATGGACATTTCGTTCTACATAGCTAAATATAATACAACAACAACAGCATGGTAATTAGTCTTTGAGAATGAAAGGAGTGACCCTGTGAAACGCATTCCTAGGCATCAGACCAAAAATAAAAGTGTTAAAATGAACTTTGGAGAGATAATTTTTCGACTTCCCCCCGACAGTGAAGAAAAACATAAGAAATATTGAGAAGATTCGTGTTAGAATCATTAATCTTAGCCTATATATATATATATATATATATATATATATATATATATATATATATATATATATATATATATATATATTGTGACGATAATCTCTTTCAAGAGAGATTGAGCCTGCTCTTCCCTACATAATTACGTCAAAATACAAGATACTATATACAAGATACGTTCACCAAGTATCGCCAAACGTTTTGCCCAGAGAGCAAATCGTACCCAGCACACCTGGCCACCGCCGTAACCAGCTAACTGCTCATCCTCTGCCTGCCTGTTGCTGATTGGCTGGTGTCTCGTCGCCCCAGCCCTCTGCCACCACCACAAGTCGACGTCTGGGCTGCAGTGCGCCAGTCTCGTCAGAATATCTCAGTGCTCCATGCAGTTGACATCTCTCGCTGGTAGACTAAGCCTTGGCTTTCGTGTACTAAGGGAGGTGGCAGCTCGAAGCCAGTATTCCAGCACTTATATTTTATTTTGCTATCACTGTAACTTACTTGTCTTAGCGTAACTTCTCATTTGCCAGTGATTATTCATGTTATTTTGTTTGTTGACTTATCCTGCATATTTTTATGAGATTGCCTTTATTCATGTCTTGTTTTTCTAGAGTAATTAAAATTTCATTGTTTATATACTTGTGTTTTGTGTCTTCTCATTACCTTACCACAGACGAAAGGACCAACTTTTCTCTTTTTTTTTTTTGATTATGTGACGAGGCCCTGCCCCTAGCTTTTGAAACAGCCGAACACCAACGCTTTACCGTCACTATATATATATATATATATATATATATATATATATATATATATATATATGTCGTACCTAGTAGCCAGAACGCACTTCTCAGCCTACTATGCAAGGCCCGATTTGCCTAATAAGCCAAGTTTTCATGAATTATTATATTTTCTCTAATTTTTTTCTTATGAAATGATAAACCTACCCATTTCATTATGTATGAGGTTAATTTTTTTTTATTGGAGTTAAAATTAACGTAGATATATGACCGAACCTAACCAACCCTACCTAACCTAACCTAACCTATCTTTATAGGTTAGGTTAGGTTAGGGAGCCGAAAAAAGTTAGGTTAGGTTAGGTTAGGTAGGTTAGGTAGTCGAAAAACAATTATTTCATGAAAACTTGGCTTATTAGGCAAATCTGGCCTTACATAGTAGGCTGAGAAGTACGTTCTGGCTACTAGGTACGACATATATATATATATATATATATATATATATATATATATATATATATATATATATATATATATATATATATGTGTGTGTGTGCAATCTCTCATATCTCTTTCCTTATCTCCCCTTTCTTCCCCAGCATCCCCTCTATTTTGTCTCTTACCCCTCTTGAATGGGGTGAGAATAGCTTAATGAGCTACCTCATCCCTTTGTGTGTATTTTACCTCAATAAACTTATTTCAGTTTCAATTTCATCATTACTATGTACTCTCTTAACCCCCAATGTACCTTCTTATATATAAATAAATAAATAAAAAGGTATGAATAATTAGTAGTTATTGAATCGTCTCTTTGAGAGAGGAACAAGGGGTCGTGGGCCCCCCAGGCCTCCCCGGAGTGCCACAAGTAAACACTGCTGGAGACAAGTGAGGAGCACCACCCACCAGCCTTCCTACCCCTCCTGAAGGGCACCGTGGCCGCCTCTGATGAGTCTTATCCCCTAAGATGATGTCAGGTAGGTTGAGGCGTCCGTGGTGGAGGGGGTGGTGAGGCTAGGGGAGACTCTAGTGACGGCTGGAACGGTTGGGAGTGAGTGTTCCGGTGTGTGAGGAAAGTTGTGGTTGAGGAGTGATGAGGGGGGAGCCACAGCCAGGGGAAGTGGAGCACCCCAGCAGTAGTCTGTGACCCACTCACCTGCACTCAACACCAGTCTGTGATCCACTCACCTGCACTCAACACCAGTCTGTGACTCACTCACCTGCACTCAACACCTCACACTCCGTGTTCCTCTCCTCCAGTAGCACTGGTATTTAACACTTGACCAAGTGTATTTGTTGTCATGGTGGAAAAGTGATTCATTTACACAGGAATTTGTTTTTTGGGTAATTTATATTTTCTCAGTGTTGGGACAGGAAGCCTGTTGGGTTTAATGGTATCCTACAAGGCCACCAAATGACCTTCCCTCAGGACGCAATCCACAACAGTCTCATAACTCCTGGGTTACCTATTAACCAGTGAACTGAGGCAAGACGTGTAAGGAAACATGGTTAAATGTCTCGCCCTGCTCACAACTTCATACTACACATTCATCAACTTATTATTATTATGGCATTTGTGATGCATTAATTTTCTATTATGCATCAACAGAAAGTGTCAAAAGCAGCAGTAATATAGACTAAAATAAGAGCCTAAATAATATTTACCTACCCTAAGGATTGTGGGTATTAGATGCAGGCCAATAGAGTCTTGTGATGTTTGGAAACCATTCATAAAACATTTAAGTCGTATGTTTTCTTCCACCAACTACAATATTTAAATAAATGATTTTAAATTTTTTTTTTAGTAAATGTATATTATTGGTGTACTGTATATGGGTACCGAGATGTTTGGTTAACCACGACCAGCTAATTTGCTAATGCCCTCGGAACTAACGATCAACAAACCAGACGTGAAAAGGCTGACCTCTTAGAGATCTTTAAAATAAAAGTGCTGAACAAATTGGAAAATATTCATTTGGCAGGGTCAGTAGTTTGACCTTTGGGGAGGACCTTGATATAAGCCTAAAACATATACACACGCAGGCTTCTTGTCCCTGATAAAGCAAATTATTTACTGAATATAGTATTTATTTATTTATTTTTATCACTTTTTATATTCCAAACTTTACCTGTAGCACTTATGAGAACAGGGTACTGTAGATTGAATCTAGTAGAAGTTGCAGCAGGGGGTGTTAAGTTGTTCAGAGAAATTAAGACATTGTATGCACATTTTTGCACTTTCCTCAGTTTGGATTGATTAATATACTGTACTTGGTTAGTGATAATAAAGTTACATGACCACAAGTCATTAAAATTGTCTGTATAGGCTGTTTTATGTTTTCTTCTTACCATGTTTAAGGGATTTTTATTCTTGGTTTACTATATCTAGGCACAGTAATAAGTATTTCTTGTTATTTAGGTAATTCATTATACAGTATTTAAATAGTTTCATCTTGAGTATTTTCAACAGATATGTACAGTAGTTCTGGGGTTATATGTAGGTATATGTTAAGAGTTGTTGACAGGAATTGTTGTATCAAACACAGGTATCAAGATGTCACATTAGCTCTCCAAGGCTACCATTGCTGCTGTGGCTGCTTCTCCTCCTCCGTAATTTTCAGTGAAGTGGGTCAGATTATTAGAATAACTCGGCTCGGCTGTTTTTTGAATATCCAGGATATTTTGACTAGAGTATTATTTCTTTTTATTTCGGTCTTGGTTAATTAATTTTATGGTAGTACATGTTTCTAAAGTGTAAAGAATTTGATGTTTAAATTTGCATATTTTTAACGTCATTTATTCTGGGTAATCAAAATGCTAGTGGCTATGCAAGTCAAAATCTACTAAGACTGATTGCATTGCATGGTGCCATTATGATATACAGTACAATACTGTATGTGTTTTTGTACTACTACCTACATTTTTTTATATTTCAATTGACAAGACTAACAATACTGTATAAGTTTCCCCAAAAAGTAGGCCCGAAATGAAACGTTATTTAAGGACTACATTTCAATTTTTTGCTTTGCAACTAGTGGTGATTTTCATCTGTAGTCACTTAAGAGCAGAATTGAGGGTGAATAAATCGCAACATTTACTTTATAAAGACTGAAAGGTAACATAAAAGTTAATATGATTTTGTATATTTTCTAACATTTTTGAATAAAGATTTACCATCTCGTAAAAAGGATACTGTATACAGTAATTTTTTTTCAGACGGGTGGCAATTTTGATGATGGCCACTTTTTGAAGGTTAATTAACATCTTTTAATACTTTGCTGCTGATGATTCAAAGAACTTTAAGTCAATTAATCTTCTCATACTACAGTTAATAATTTACGGGCTCACCATAGCCCGTGCTACATGGACATTTCTATCTAAGTAGCTAAATCTAAAACAACAACAATAACAACAACAAGCAGTTAATAATCCAATATACTCGTCTGCTTTAGTTTCTTTTGTGACCATAAACTGTGATTGACAAATTTATACAGAACACTTTTGTACTTTTATTTTAATGGAGTGTGAGCAAATGTGACTCAAATATAATAGCAGCAGTATAAAATAAACAAAATTATTAAAAATTTATGAAATTTCTAATTTCTAAAGTTTAAAGAGCTGCACAGTAGTTCTGATAGCTTGAGGAAGAGACAGCATGTTTGTATTCTCAGCAACAACATTGAATTCTGCACGGTTCACTCGTTTGAAAGTGATTGCTTACATTATTTTCTGATCAGTATTGCAAGTATTATTGTTTTGTGTATAGATTGACTTTTGAATGCTAGTTTTCAAATGTGTGTAAATAATTAAATCTACATAATGAACCTGATTTTGAAGTTGTATTTTTTAACAAACTAGGTTTTAAGACTTGAAATTTGCATACACAAGTGTTTTAGAAGTATACTTTACAATAGTATTAATTGTACAACTTGCACCTGCAAACTTTTTTGCAAGTAGATCTTGCTGTTAGTAGAATGTTTTTCTTGTAGATTAATGTTTTCAAGTGAAGCACGGCATTGTATTTAGTAAGACAAAATTGGTATTACTCTACAGTATATTTATAGCTTTAAAATGTAACATTGTCTCTTGAATGTGTTACTTATGTATTTTCATTATAAGGTATCTTCTCTTTACTAACTCTCCATTTAAAGTGGCAATGTCCCTGCCAGCTAACATCATCCATGGTAAAAAATCCGCTACGATGACCCCTGAGATCCGAGCTCCACTCCTTGCTAGGCGAGACAGTCTGAGTGGTAGGACAATGCGCAATGGAAAGAGTAAGCAGCTCACCAGAATAGTCAAGTGTTCAGTTTATCTGATTACTCCTTGATAGCACCGAGCACTTCTCACCTTTGCCTGCATGAATGGCACAGCTAGATATCATTGTTATTCCCTGGAAACACAAACCGTAACTGCTTCTATTTTCCGCTTGTTACAACTTGTAATAAAGTTGTTACATCTTGGCTTAACGTGTTTATGACGTATTAGAACGTTGTTACAACTTGCTATATTGGTTGTTATAACTGGTTAGGAGGGGTTAAAACTTGTTCGAACGTTGTTCCAACGTCGTAGTTTCGGTGTGTGTTTGGCGGGATTGCACTGCAGCTGTATGTGATATACAGAAAATTACCCCTAGTGTTTTATTAGCAGGTCTTCTCTGAAGTCCATTAGTTACTCTTAGGAATGACCTCATTTGTAAATGGCAGTCGCTTCCATGTGCTGTTCTTCCAACAGTCTTATACTGTATACGGTATATATATAAATTATGATTTCTCGTGTTTGTACCTGTGGTGAACTCGTGCATGCTTGCACGAGTCACTAGTGAATACAGTACCTTGGAACAGCTGCTTATGGCTATGTGTTTAAACCAGAAAAATTAATCTTGGATATTTCATTGGCATACTTAATCACATAGTCTAATGAAAGCATTAATAATTTAGAACTTGTGAAATGTAACTTTCAGTATTTATTGTACAGTAGATTCCCTAGATTCCCACTAGTCTGGATTGAGATTAGGTGTCACCCATTACATAATTTTTTTATCCCAATAATTTTGTAATTATGGACACTGTTTTTGCATAAATGATAGCCAATCTATTTCTTTATATTTTGGTGATAAAATCACAGAAAAAGGTACATTTTTAATATAAGAATTGTTTTTCTCCAGATTAAATCTAGATTAGTGGGAGTTGCTCATTGCCACAAATGCCAAATCTAGAAATAAGTGATGAGCAACCATAACCGAGTTGGATTTGTTCATTGTATAGTACTGTATTTCGAAAGTCGGTCCACCAAGATCAGGATTAGTAGGATTTTATTGTACAGTACATGCTTTAAGGTAAATGCTCTAAGGTAACCTATACCTGATGAATTTTCTATCATTTATGTACAGTAATAAATATCTACAGTGTGTACTGTACAGTACAGATGATCACATTTTTTGCATTTTGAAAGAGCCTAGATAGAACTGTTTTAACAAAATTCATATGGCAGACCAACAAAAACACTTTCCTGGGTGTCTTGTAATTTTGCTATTGCAAATACAACCTGCACATGGGTTGAGCTTTGGCACTTACTCTACCTCTCTTCTAAAATGCGTTTGTCTGTAGTATGTGATTCTTGTCTGTCATGTACCTCCTCACCCTTATTAAATTCCAGATCATTACGTGCCGTGACATTTTCTGTCACCACCACCGTGGGCATTATTTTTTTGTGTTTATTCCATTTAAACTCTTTGTTTACTCATTTTTTTTGTAGCACTGAAAAGAGAATTTAATGTAAAATTTACCTGCAAAAGGAATAGTTGTGCAAACATTATCATGCTGGTAACTAAAGTATCGCCACCTCACCAGACAGAAATATCTTTGATATCCCCAGAGTCAAACTTAATCTGTGTAAACACTATGCAAATAAAAGGACCTAGTCTATGGAACTCACTCCCTAATGAATTGAAAAGCTGTCCAACTTTTGCCTTATTCAAAAATAAAACCAAAAAGTACCTAATTTCATCCTCAGTTTTCTACCTATTGCTTTATCCTCGCACTGTATCTAGTGCTACCCAGGCCCCCAATATTTGTACTTAAGCCATATTACTTTACCATTGTAATCTTAGATATCATCTGATATCATAGTTGTTGTACTGAGTGCATATTCTACTGCATTATTCCTTGAAATGTTATCCTAATGTACCTAGTAATCCTTGTTCATTATTGTATAGTGTTGTTATTGTGTATTATTCTTATCTGCTTTTGTGTCAAAATTTCTTGCAATATACCTGTAAGCATTTTTTGTAAATTTTACTGTAATTATTCTACTTAAAATTATCTGTCCCTGTAAAGTAAAGCTGTAAAGTACCTGTAAACATCTTTTGTCAATATTACTGTTAATTATCTAAAAATTATCTGTTAGCTTAAGGACTTGTCTGAAACGCTATGCGTGCTACTGGCTTTACAAGAATGTAAATTTAACTTAATTTCTGTGTTCTCTGTTAACCCCCAATGTACCTTCTTGTAAATAAATAAATAAATAAATAAGTATATTGTGCAATTCATAATTGTGCAGTGCATGAGAGACTGACAAACTTTGATGAACCTTTAAGGTTGCTCACAGTTGTTAGTATAAAAGTAATTAATACAGTTTGAAATTCAGTATATGTACATTTTGATCTACCAAATAGTATAAGTTAGCAGAGTTTTAAATTAATTGGTAAGAATGACTTACATGAGTAACTAAATTAGTTTTACAACTACAGTACCCAGTTTTGCTGTTGGGTGTCACATATGATTGAAGAGTTGCATGACTAATATATTAGAATGATGGCTAAAATATGAAATGGTATTGGATATATTTTAATGTTTTGTGGGAGTGTCTGCTGGAGTTGAGTGCTGGTTTAACCAAGCCTTAGGGAGATTAACCAGGTTTCTTGATACCCTCTCTTGTCTGCTTGAAGCCAAGGTGAGAATCTGGCTGTGTGTGTGAGACTTGGGGATCAAAGATGAATCCTAGAAAATCTAGAAAAGCAAAACATAAGCATTAGGTACCTGAAAGTAATGTGGCAAATTATAGTTTATTGCAATGTAGAAAACTGGTGGCGACCTATTTCACCCATAGTCCCTGCCAGCATACTTCTTCACATTCACTTTGTTTTATGACAAAGAGTGCTGGGAAGACGGGACACCACAAGCATAGCTCTCATCCTGTAACTATATTTAGGTAATTACATGTAGGTAATTACTTGGTCACAAATTCACGCTGAAGCCCAAGGTGAAATGTATATTTGCTTACTTTGTTGTGCATCTGCATTCTGGTATCTTTTGTTTTGGTTTGATCTCGGGTTCCCAAGCTTCCCTTGCCTCATAAAGCCAGATTCTGGTCCTTGTAGGCAAGGTTGGGACTCTGAAGCCTGTTGCACCCTCATAAGAGATGGCTGGATCAGCATTTAGCTTGGGAAGCTTCTGAAGTGCTCTTCCCCTAAAAAAGGGCATTTCATTACATTAAATGCTTGATATTGTCTTGATGAATCTGTTTAATCAAAGTTAACTTTTTTACATTGTTAAAGTTATATCATAGAAGTATATGTTTTCTGTTTAATGTGTGTTGACAGGATAGTTGAAATTCTGCTTCAACAAGATACTGTTATATCCCAGGATATTCTACACTCGCTAGTGTTTTACTTGCATTTAATGGCTTTAGACAGTACAGTACTGTATATAAAAAAATAAATTCTGTACAGTATTTGAATTTCTGTCAAAGTTAATTCAACTAGGGTCATTAAATAATTGTACATTTAATACAAGTTTAGCTTAAACTTGAAAATTACAGATTTTCCTAACCTGTGTTTTAATTGTACAGATATTGACGTTGGTGGCGTTAAGCCCCTCGTCACTAAAACAGAGATACACTGTGGACGACCAGGCAACCTGCGAACAAATGCCGGGAAACCCACATACAAATCACAGGTCTGGTTATTTAAACGAAACTAAGTATAATAAACAGTTGTTTGATACGGTCATGGAGGCGCAAAATACTTCATCATAGTCAGTAATACAGTACTAAAAATATTTATAAGTTTATTAAAAAATGCAATATAGATTTTAATGATTTTGTAACTTTGTTCAAAGTGTAGAAGTGATATTTATAAAACTAAACCTGGGGTACTGACTTTTTTTTTCTCAGGAAGAACAGTATCAAGAGATTCAGGAACTGCGCCGGAGTTTGGGTGAGCTGCGCGAGGAGAATTCTAATTTGAAAACACGCAGCAGACGCCTTGAGGAAGACTTGATACGCCGTGACCGCCAGATAGAACAGCTAATGGATCCAGCCAAGGTTAGAGGAGACTTGCCAGTTTTAAGCTGTGTGCATCATGCTGTATTATTTTGTTGATTTTCGAGCTTTCATATTATGATGTGTAATTATATTGTAGTTTAGGTACAGTTGGTTACTTGAAGTGGAGACCAGATAGAAAAGTAAGGTGGTGTCATTATTAAAGGTATGTACAATATAATTACACGGTATCCAACTGGGCTGGGAAAGATAGTTAAATTCAAATGTAAGGACTAGAACAAATCCCTTGTACATATATACCAAACAATTTTATATAAAATACTTTAATATACAGTACTGGTATAGGAACTCAGAATTTGTGGGAGGGGCTCCCCTTGGTGGCTTCCCGCAGTGGCTCCGAGTGAATGGGGTGCCACCGAGAGAACCCAACAAAAAAAAGTTTCATTACATCTTGATTTTTTTTTATGTAAGCAAGCATTTTACTGTATTTGATATGGCATATCTACCTAATTCATGGTGAGTTATCACTTTACTTTCTTAGACCTGTTTTAATAAAATGAGTTTTGATATTGGAATTTTTAACGAGTGTGCATGATTTTTACATGGTTTGTTCAGTGGAAGAGAGATTGCAATAAATTTATACCAGCTGTCTTGTAAAGCAAATAGTATTTCATGTAGTGTCACTATGATATATTTTGTGGATATAGGTCACATTTATTGCAACTCTTACCCATAAAGGAGAAAATAATATTACCTTATGGTTTGGCGTGTGATTGAGCCTTTACTAACCCTGCAGAATGATGAGGCTCGGAGAAAGCTAACCGACAAGGGAGCTTCTCTGGTGTCGAGCCTGAAGCTAAGAGTGTCACGCCTTGAGGCTACACTGAAGGAAAAGGAGGCCGAGCTAGCAAAGCTTCAAGCCTCGACCAAGGCTACAGCTCTAAATGAAATGAAGATTGAGGCAGAAACTTATTACCAAGAGGTGAGAGTAATGTACACATTTTGTTACTTATATCATTATACAGAAAGCTGGTGTCATCCCACCCATTGTGAATCAGTAAGAGATTCTCATTTATTTAGTACTGCTGTGTGGTGTGCTGAGAATAAACTTATTAATCCTTTAGCACAAGAAAAGTCAGTATTATCGTGACTTTATTGGCCCACTTTCTCATTACAAATGTACAGTATCGATATCCACATTGGATTTTTTATTATTTAAAAAGGTATGATTAAAGGTATTTTGTGACCAGTATATACTGCATATTGTTTTACTCTAAAATTATTGAAAACATTATATAACAAATTATACAGTTGTCATGGAAATTTGTTGAGATATGATGCTTTTGGGTATGTTCATATTCTTCTTACAATGTATCAGAATGGATATGTTGGTATTGGCAGGATTTTGGCCAGAATTATTTACTGATTTTTTTGTTACTAGATGCATTGTTCTCTGTAGCGAATTGTTGCTTTAATTATAGGTTGTGAGATTAAGAAATCAGTTAAATATAGTACAGCAGCAGCAACAGCAGCATCAACAGTTCCAGCAGTATCAGAAACCTTCACAGCAGTCATCTCCACAACACCAGAACTCTCAGCAGCATTTGCAGCTTCCTCCTCAGGAAGAACCCCAAGCAGTGAGCACCACCCACTGGTCCAACATGAGAGGTGGGCAGAACAGTAGGGAAGGAATGCGATGTCGAAGAGATGGTGGTGATGGGCAGGAGTCCCCAACCACCAATCTACGACTTGCACTCTCACAGCTCGAGGAGGAAAATGCTCGACTGGGTAACCAAGTATCATCACTCGCTGTTGAAAAAGACAAACTTGAGGCAGATTTGGAGAGAGTTCTCGGTGTCTCTGAAGAAACTAAAAGTTAGTTAAATTAAAATTATTCGTGCATTTACAGTACAGAATACAGTAGTACATCACCACCAATAGGGATATTGTACAAAATGGTTTTTACATGTATAGTTATTTGTGATATATGTTTGAATCTCTTAACTTGTGTTATGTTAGAATAGCTTTTTAATTGGACCATGTAGTCCTTTGGTAGTCAGTGTTGCAAGCATTGTAACACTTTGGAAGGTGAGGGGAGGAAATTATCAGGGGAAAGCACCAAAGCATTACAATTATATAGCACTGGGAATGGATCAGGATAAGGATTTGGGATGGGATGGGGGGGGGGAGGAATGGTGCCCAACCATTTGGACGGACAACCTATAATTATTTTACGGTGCACTTGGATGGTAAGGTAATGACCTTACCCTGGAAGGCGAGATGATGAACTTTCATAACTTAACCAGTAAGAAATAACATTATCCCTCTCCAATAAATGAATATATAATACAGTATATAATTCTGTATAATGAAATGCATAAAATCCACTGTTGAGGCTACAGAATTCCCCGCTTGTGTAGCTAACGAGTATGGGTTTCCCTATTTTATTATTTATGAGGACTTGATCCTTGATGTCGAGGGCTCTGTCATATCATAATGATAATCTTCACAATCATTTCACCTGTTTAAAAAGCAATTTCAATTGGGCAACAATTGGTTGCAACAATCACATTGTTGTGCATAAACTTCATGATTAACATTTAAGTGTTGATAGTTATTTATTTGATTAGTATTACAAAGTATATATGACTAGTAATTAGATGTAATTCTTGCAAATTGTCATTCAGCTTGAAGGAGTTAGATGGCCACACCGTTGCAAACTTGAGTAAATATTTAAGCTCTAAAAAGCATTTTTGCATATTTGTACATTGTTATTTGCAAGTTATCACACATTTAATACAATTGACACATTCTGTTCTAGAAGGGTAACTAGGTTTCTATAGTAGTCTGCTGAATTAGGAATTAACACTTATTAGTCAGTTATTCAGGTCATATCGGCTTTAAATGTTTTTTGCATATACAGTACTGTATGTATATAGTATATTCATTAAATTTAAATAATTGAAGGTGACTTGCTTAGTCAACTGTTTAGAGGAGTAGTACATCTTTTAAATACAGTTCAGTACCCCATTACTCTTAGAAGATCAAACTACGTTCATTTAGCAGGTATAATTTATCTAGTGTCAAATTGATTTCAAGATTGTTGTCTGAAAGATCAATTTAAAACTAATAATGACTTCTTTTTATGTGAGTAGATAACTATGAGGGTTTGAGTCGAGCAGAATTGATCAGAGAGGTTGAACGAGGTCATGAAGAAGTGAGCCGCTGGGAGACTCAACATACACAACTGACTGAAGCTCTGGCAAGAAGGAATGACAACGCAGGAGACAGCACTGCACTTTTCCAGGTGTGTTGTGGTCACAAAAATCTGTCAGTTGCGTGAATACCTACAATGAAATGGTCTGGCAAATAATTTATGTAGAAATTGAAAGGGTTGTGGAAATGTGCATTCCTTCAAACTTGGACCAGTATGTGAAACATGGACTAAGACACCAATAAAAAATTGATGTTGAAATTTATTTAAGAATTGCATTCTATATTAGGAGATAATAGAAGTTTAGATAGGACATGTATGAAGGATGCAAGTTTCTATAGAGGTAAGATATGAGGTGATGATTTGATGTGATGAGGTGATGATTTTTATGAGGTGATGGTAATTTGCTTACCATCACCTCATAAATGAGATCATGAGGTGATGGTAAGATATGTGATGGTGATGGTAAGATATGTGATGGTGATGTTAAAAGAAATGTCCTTAGGATAGTTTTTGCATATGAAGAGAGAAGGGTAGAGTTGCATACAAATGATTAGATTGGAGGGTAGCTAGTCAACATCTTCATGAGGAAAAGTGGAGAACCTTACAAACTTACCAGCTCCCTGACAATAAAGCAATCTCTGCTAAGCTACCAGACAGTTAGTAAGGCAAACAGCTCACCTGCTATCATAACTCGCTATTCCACACTTCTACAATGTTTCCTCCTGTACCTCTACATCTTTACTCCATCCCATTAAAAAAATAGGAAAGTGGATACAATAGAAGCTATAAAATCATGGCCTTCTCAATTTCTGCATTGGGAACATAAGTGGAGGAATTTTTGATGAGATAATGACATGGCTATTTAAAATAAGTGCTTGAGGTGTGAAGGAAGATACATACTTGCATTAGAGGGAACAAAATGGAGGATAAAACGGTGAGAAAAATGAACTGTGCTGCAGAAGATATTGCCTGGAGAATACTGTAGATCTTGTGGCTTTGGAGCATTCGGTATATACCAGCGAGTTAACCAAATAGTGAAGAAAGGCTCTTGGAGTAGGGAAATTGCTGTTTAGTCTTGCTGTATCTAAGCTGAGAGAGAGACAATGTGAGATGGGAGCCTGCTGTCTGCTCCATTCACATCATCACTTTCAATACGTACAAGTAATAGATAGGTATTTGCTTTATTTTTTTATATTTATCTATTTCTTGTCTAGAAATTAAATTCATATTTTAAATATTTCAAGAATTTCTTACAATAAAAAACTAAAATCTTTCATGTTATCAGGCTCATTTGGCAGAGATGCAAGGGCGAGAAATGGAGTGGGAGAGGGAACGTTCCAGTTTGCGGGAGCTGATCAACACGCTCAAGGATGACCGCATGTTCTACATGGAAACAGCTCAGAAAAAAGAGTAAGTTTAGATTGATTTATGTAAATTATCATATTACTCCTTTTGAGATTGGCTTAAGATCACTTGATCAGAGTTTTTCTAGCCTAACATTTCAAATTGTATTAGTACAAGTTGCTGGAAATAAAGTGAAATGAGAAGGAAGTTAAGAACTAATTAAATAGGACAGTTTGTGTTATTGACAGTGTGAGGAGAGAGGGAAACATAGTGTTAAATGTAGTTCATGAAAATTTTTTTAAATAGTAAACACATAGTCTCGTGCTACAAATAGACAAACAGAATAACATTGGCAGAGTATGCAGAGTTAGCAGATCTAAATACTGCTTTTTGTAACCTATACAATGAGCCTTAAGAAAACTATTCACATCCAATGTTAGGCTAATATTGAAGTATATGGCACTAGAATGGAATCCACTTGTCTTTAAATGTATTATTTGCCATAAGGCTGATACCGGAAATTTGAGACCTGTTCTATGAGAAGCAGTTCAGTCAAACCTACAGATATGTACAAATGGAGACAGGAATCGACAGCTTTTATTAGGTACAGTATTACTATTTTTAAATCCTCGAGAAAGAGATCATTAAAAAAAACAAAAAAGGCTCTAAAAAAAATGTATGCTACTTTTATTTGCAAGTGAGTGGTAGATGGATGATATTAGTGTAGTGTGTGCCAAAACTATGGATAGCTTCAAACCAAAAATTCTAGGAAAAATGGTACATAACAAGCATAGCACTTGCCAGCACGAGTTTAAAAAGTTTAGAGTTATAGGAGTAGAATTAGACAACTGTAAGAGCATGATTAGCATAAGGAGGATAGAATTAGAAATGAAAATACAGTAGGATGGAAGGATGTGAAATGCAAATGTATGTAACTTTTAAGATTGGAGAAAGTGTGCCCAGACTTTTTCTGCCAAGATAAATGAAGGGAGAACAATACAATGGCAAAGAGTATATTTGAGAAAATTTGAGGGTAGGAAAAGGAAGGGCAAAACGACGACTGGCAGACCAGGTGATTGAGCACGTTAGGATTTGGGGAATGAAGTGAACAGCTCACAAGGAGTGATGGGGAAGAAGACAAGCTGGGAGTAGTTCATTAAAAGGGAATAAATGATGGAAGTATTATGCAGATGATTTGTAAAGTATAATTATTGAAGAACACTAATGCTGAAAATTCCAAATAAACTAGGAATTTTAGTTGGGATCAAAATAATACTCAAGTATAGGATAAAGAGGAGACAAGACTGGGTGGAGAAGTTATTTAAAAGGCATGATAAAAAAAAAACATTAAAAATGTGTGGATTTACAGAAAACATTTCATTGGCGAAACTGTTAGGTAAATGTTGTGATTTTACGTTAGAACAAGATGTATCTGAGAAAATATTAACAATGTATGATGGAATTGAAGCTGTGTGTGCTCGAGGAGTTTTGGAATGCTAAATTGATCCAATTTTACAATTTTGATATTTTTCACTTGTAATTCTTGATTACAAGTGAACAATTTGGAGCATTTTTGTTTGTAGTTGTATATGTTTGGAGCATTTTTGTGTAAGTGGATGAAAATTAGTTAGAACACAGAAGTTTATATTTTATAACACCACAACATCTCTATTAGATGTGCTCTAATACAAATTTCAGAAATGTAAATAAATGAGAACTGTGTTTTGGTATGCTCTCCATCCAGTATATCCACTGAAGACGGTCTGGGTACCCCCCAATAGTCATGAAATGTTATTTTAATGCTGGTTCCACATTTATTTCAACTGTGTTGCTACACTGCTTATGTCATACCTTTAACGTGCATTAATAACCTCGTAATATATCTTTGCAATGGTGATTACAGTGCAACATAATTTTGAGCTGAGAGAAATGTTAAAATACAGTAATTTGTGGAACTACCATTTTATAAATGCAGTCACCACTGAAATGCCTGTAGTTTTTCGTACTAAAGTTTAGTGTAATGCAAGGTCTTGAAGGGCATTACATTACTGTTGTTATTGTGGGTTGGTATTGTAATTGTAGGGAAGCCACAGCACAGGAGACTTCATATGCATCGTCCCTCCACCGACACCATCTGAGTCTTGTGAGGTCGTGCACATTATTACCTCTATAATATTGATTTATCCCGCTTTAGCTTTTATGCACTCCAATGACTCGGTCATCCAGATTGTTATTATGGAAGTCGTTTGTTTTGATTTATACTGTATTACAATTCAAATTCTTATCTATGCTGAATGACTGCCTGCCCTGGCACTGAACAAGTCACTCTTCCCCCCCCCCCCCAAAAAAAAAATGGTGAGAGCTGCTTCACAAATACTGTTGGAAAGAGCATTCAAATTTAAAGTTTTACTCTTCAAATCAATTTTAATATGTAATATAAATTAATCCATTCCTAGCATTCTGCAATTCTGCATAGTGCCACTAGTAAATCCCTGCACAGTTCTACAAATTTTCTGCAAATGTTAAATGATGCAAGAAAATAACATTTTCTGCAGCATGAAGTTTTACAGGTCTTGGAAACATTTGTCAAAATTTGGGTTTACTTGGTATTTGTTGCTGGGTTGTCTGCAGTTTCTCCCCCCTAGCATTTAAATAAATAATAAATCTCTTTAGATTTCTATTAAAAGTGCAGGATCTGTTACAGGGGGCCATAATGGGCTTGGGCTTAATGGAGGAAGTTTAGCAAAGTGGAAACTGGATGAAAGAAGTGTTGACTCGAGCATGTCTGCAATGTTTTTGTAGTACTGTTGATGTAATGTGCATCATAGGAAAGTTTTATATGTTTTGTTATAAAGTTTGTGGCATATGGCTGGCTATCGTATTGTAATCACTGTGCCATCATTGTCCGAGGTTCACTGTCACACACAATGCACTGTGTGAGAGACTGTACATGTGTTGTATATGCGTACAGTACTTGTATGCAAAATATTGTTTTAATCGTACCACAAGACTGTACAGTACATTGTATGCATTTATTTCTCTAAGAAAGCTGATAAAATCCTAATGAATAGGAAATAATTTTTTCATTTTCAGAAGATTACTGTTGTATTTAGGAAAATTCCCCCAAAATTTATAGCATGCAAAAGTATTTGAAGAATTTTAGCAGAATCAAAATTTCAGAATCAATGGTAAAAGTTTAATATTTTTAACAAGTGTATAAAAAGCATGAAAAAATCATGCCTTTTCTTAGTGGAATCCCGTGTGGATACTTGTATATAGTAAAGTATAAGGGGGAACTACAGATGCTGTGTTTCTTTGGGACATAGCATCTGAGTAGTGATCTTTCTAATGAAAAGATAGCGCACAATTGAATTAAGGAAAAAGTGCCGAAAAGTCCTATGTGGAACTTTACTGCCAAATCACTGATTCAGATTGTGCTCTTATCCACCTTGATGGAATATTGTTGATTGCTGGCATTCTAGGAGCCTTTCTATCATTAGGAACTTTTATTTTTAAATTTACTCATTTTGTGTTGGCTTATATATTTTTATTCCTCTTGCTATTGCTTTTGTAATGTGCCTGCTTTCCAACAAGAATATATTAGCTTCAATTCCACCATCCTTGCTAAATATAATTACCCAATTAATTAAACTTTTAACATTTCTTTGTCTAAGGTGATGTAGTGTTTGAGTGAATCTAGAGTGAGACCTCGATTTGGTGAACAGTATGGGACAATCCCCGATTCTTTGGAGTGAGGGATTTGTTGCAACTGAAGATGCCTTCAGGAGGCATTTGTGTGATTTTTTTTTATTGAATTATTTATTTAGACAAAAATACATGCCTGTTGATTTCTCTTAATGTTTCAGTCATCCAATGCTATATGGGCTAATTTAATTGAGTGACATTTTAGTTTCAACCTGTCATACAATGGACAGCTACTGTACCAGGAGAACCTGCCTGTAAAGAGATTTCACCACATCTTGCATATATTCCACACTCCGACCATGAAACTTCATTTTCAAAATAAGGGCCCATATTTTAAGTGAATGGAAGAGGCAATTCAAAATTAAAATTAACAATACCAGTACAGTACCTGTAAAATTTTCCCAGGGTTTTTCTCCATTGGGTTTCTCAGGGCTTCAGCTCTTTTTTTTTTTTTTTATTCTAATGGATGAACATCTATAAACATGATTGGGGTCATATTAAGAGTCACCATTCATAACCCTAATATTTCCCATGCTTTATGGGTGTGGCTGATATTTTTGTTCCAATCAATAGTATGATGGGCATATTTAATACCAGTCTGAACTTATGGCCATGCTTCTAAACAAGTCCACAACTTCTGCCTCTCCAAATCTGCATATACTTCATCCACAAAGGGGATGATTAAATCCAGAGTGGAAAGTGTGTATTGCAAATAGAGATTTGCCAAATCGAGGTACCACTATTTATACGATACAGTACTGTATAAATCTAGAGGAAGAATACAAGTGAAATTGTAGAGGAATTCCATTTGGATGATGTTTGTGACTTGTATGTTTATAATACTGTGTACCCAATACATGGCTAGAATACTTGCAGTACTAGTATTAAACTGAAGAGGAAGTGTCGCAGAATCTTGCTCGGAAATTAGCCATTACTGAGCTACTGATTCAGTCAATGAATAACTATTTCCATCAAGGCTGGCTTTCTTAATTTCAGAATTGTCCTTTCATTAGAGACACATACTCATAATTAAAAGGTATAATTTTTTAAGGATTTATTTAAACTTGACTACACATGAATCGGGTAGAATATGAAATTTAAATTGCCGAAGTGAATTGCCAAGATTTTTTTACATATGAAGAATTGATTATGATGGCTTGTGAATGATTATGCATTCTGTGTTTTGAATTGTTAGTGGAAGAATGACCATAATGTATAAAACTAAATTATTCTTAACACAGCTCAGAGTTGGACAATCTACGGACAGAAATTCAGACACTGCAACAAGAGGTTATGGTGCTGCACGACACTCAGCGGAAGCGTAATGAACGGTTGCCTGGCACTCTGTCACAGCGAGCGGCTCGAGGCACTCTTAAACAAGTGTTGTCAAGTGGTTAGTAATAGTTTATTATTATTTTCATATTCTAGTGCACTTTTAAGTAGGTAACACATGTAGTGGTAAATCATGTTTATACTACATTATACTACATTGTTTGCGTATTAAAGCTAGATTGAACTTGTATTAAAAAATATAGGTTAAAGAGGCCAGTTATCGACTAGCACTGGTCATTGGCACACTTTGGCAAAACCAATCTCTTGCCTAAAGTGTGGTATGAAAGTTTGGCAAAATGAAACTCTTACCTAAAGTGGGGTATGAAAGTTTGGCAAAACCAAACTCTTGCCTAAAGTGGGGTATGAAATTAAAGAAAAACAAATTAGAACCTATTTACATATATATTAGTTGTACATGTGTAAATATGAAAGGTCTTTAAAGCTGCACAGTGCAGTGGTTTAAGCATAGATATGTTTAACACATTTGAATATTAAGTCAGAAAAAACTGTTAGTCTCCACTGGATTAAGGCAGTACCTGATGTGCATTGATGTGCATCAAGAAATGTCAGTCCTGCCATATGTAGTACTTAGTGTGCATTGAGTATGTATGATATAAGTACATTGTGTACTTTTGTATCTACGGAGTTGACCGAGGAATGAGCATTGGGGAGGGGGTGTTGGCTGAGGGAGGAACATGGATTGATAATGTTTGGCTAATATGTAAAATTTATTTCAGGTTCACGTTCGGGGTCAAGCAGTGATGCCAACACGCCCACCCGACGTAATCGTCCATCCAGTGCTCGCCCCCCACCTCCTGGCACTCGCCCTCAACGTTCATCAAAGTCGTCCAGTGAGCCACGTGAGATTCCCCCACCTAGTAAAATGAGAAGAACTCCTGCGCAGCAGAGTCCCAAAAAGCTTCCACAACATAAATTGCCATCTAAAGTTTCTTCTTCTACCTCTTCACCATCTAAAAGTTCAGTTACCAACCTACCAAGTTCAGTGAACCCTACTAGACCAGGTATTAGCAATAGGAAACCAGCAACTTCATCATCAACTGCTTCCACTCCAAAGGCTAGCCCATATGGATCCCCAAGACATAGCTCCATGGGTCGAGTAACATCTTCAGCTTCATCAAAAACTCCAACTCCAACGACCTCACCGCGCAAGAATTCAAATTCAGTGTCACCTCATCATAAATCTGTTTTAACATCACCTCAGCACAGGGTAACTGGATCAGCATCTCCTCAACCAAGACCTACTGGTCTAAAGTCACCTGCCAAAATACCCACATCTCGGTCTTCCTCTAAAACCTCCACTCCATCATCATCAGCAAAGTCTTCCCCATATAAAGTAAACAACCTCAGCAAATCTTCGCCTAAAATTTCTCAACTAAGAGTTGGTACCAGTCCCAGCAAGAGTGGGAAGGGACAAGAGGAAGGTGGCAGTCCTGCTAGGACACCCAGGTCCCCTCGCAAACAGGATGCCATTCAAGAGTCTTCGTTTGTGAGTACACTCAGAAAATGGTATTATTAACATTATTTGGATATGCTAAGATTTAAAATATACCAGTTGTTTTAAGTAAAATTAGATGGACACATTTCTACCATTTTATTGATTTACTTTGTATGGCTTGTTAGGCAAGTACTCCTCAGACCCACCAAAAGCATTTCTTTACATGTGTATTTGCACACATGTGTTTATAGTTGCATTAATGCTTGGAGAGAAGATTCTGTATGCTAATGAATTGGGTATTTTTATTATCATCCCTTTCCTATTCGTCTCTCCTTTTCATTTTTCCCCATATTCCTCTCATTTCTTCCTGGCTGATGCCTCCCTCCCTATTTAACCTTTTCTGCACAAAAAAAAAAAAACGGAAACCTTGTGTGGGGAAAAAATATTCACTGGGATAGTTTTATCAAATGCATCTTTGGTAGATAAATTTTATCTGTAGCATTAAGCAGGATATTAAAACTTGGATGCTCATCCAGTTTGAATCAACACGAGTGAAGCTAAATTAAGTAGCAATGAAAGTTATCAACTGGCCACTAAACTTCAACAAAATGCATATATGGTTGCATAGAATGTATATATGGGCAGAACTATGTAGGGCGTCTGGTGTATGTGTATTATATGGCTTAATCAAATAAGCTTTTTAATCAAATATGATTTTCCATAGTCAGGGATGGGAATCCTGTTAGGATTATCACTGTTCTCCTAGGCTAACTACTGCCCTTTCCCACGATACAAGCCAAAACAGTGGCTTACTTCTCCAAGTACCTACAGAGGAATAAAGTGAAAGGAAGCTTGCTCAAATGTTTAACCTGTAGCCAAAATCAAACCTTGAACCTTTTGGTAGTAAACCAGCTTGTGTGTGTTATCTCGCAGAATAATCCACCATTTTTACAACAGTTACACTAGCTAGATCTAGCCGAACATGTAAATCTAAGTCCTTATCTTACTATTGCACAGAGAAGACTGGTAAGTGGTGGGTAGCTCTATTGCATTTATGCTCCTTACAATCTCCTGTGGTTCAATGAAATCTTACTTCTTGATCTCTATTTCCTGCTTGTATTCATAATTTCTTATCTTGAACATGAGTTTGACCTTGCAGTTGTGTTTGTTTTTACTATTTGATAATTTTGTATACATAGAAATTCTAAATAACAGTGCAAGTCTGTATCTTTCTCTCATGCCCATGATATACAAGCAAGTTAATTCCAGCACCTACTTGACATTGTTCACTGGCCATATTATCGCCTGTCAGTTTATTTTTCCCAGTTTTTTATTAAATTGATTAGTTTGGTTATTGCTTAGAATGTTGTCTAAAATTAGACTTTTTTCTGCATGTAGCCATGCTTGATTAACCAAACGTGTGGATTTCATAATTTTGTTCTGCCTCTTTATATGGCTGTGAAAAACAATAGAAAGTTAATTATTTTATATAAAAATTTAATGATGCTTCCGTGACATTTAAGTATAAAATTTTAGCTTGTAAAACCTGACTTTAAATCTGAAATTTATGTAAATGTAGGCTCTTGAATATTATAACCGTTTGCCTTGATACAGTATACCTGAACTTGTTGTAAGCATCATGAAATTTTGCCTCAATGCACAGCATGTAGGTTCGTCTGTGCTATTTTACTTTGTACTTACACAAGTTTGCTACAGCTTGGTAAAACTGAAGCTGGTCCATCATGTAAGGCAACGGTAACTTCTCTAGTGGTGATTCCTGCTAAACCTGACATGGAGAACAGTACAAATCATGTTAACTCGCATGTTACATCTCAACTGCACCTTTGTCAGAATGGCAACATCCAGGCTTGTTCCAAAAAGGTATTTCAGTACTGTAAAATGCTCTTAATCTACCATACTGATTACTGTTTTCTACATGTGGAGAGCTGTTGATCATTTCTTTAATGTGTTAGATACTGCTATTAGAAATAACTATTAATTATGCCTAATGATTATACACACACACACACTCACTCGCATTCACACATATACTATTTAGTGGAGTGAAACCAATTGGCTGCTATTGAATTTGAGCAATGTAGCACAATGGTAACTGTTTCTAAGCTAAGCCACCTGGTTGCTCCCTTGAGGCAGGGTCTGGCTCTCTTGAGAACATCAATAGACACAAAGCTGCTGAAAAAATACATAAATTCTCTCTTGCATGCGGAGGTAGATGGATGGAATAAAGGAAATGAATGTGTAGTGTATGCCAAAACCTATTGAATATTTAAAAACTTAATATGACAAAGATTATAAGAGATGAGACACAATAAGCATAGCTCTCATTCTTTTAAAATAAGTACAGTTCTGTAATTACACACATTTTAACAGGTGAATAAATGAAATGGAAGGGTAGTGTATGGCAACACCATTGGAAGCTTCAGAACTCAGTATGACAAAAAATGTAGGAAAGAGGGGACATCACAAATTTAGCTCTAACTCCCCTTGGGTAAATACGCACATGCACAAACAAAATATGACTTGTGTTGAATGTAATGACACTATTTTCTGGTGGACCAGAAAATATGGTTTTCGTTAGGGGTACAGCCATGCGTTATCAATGTATGATACACCAGGCCTTTGAGAAGCACCCTTGCCTGCTGGGAGCCAGAACCATTATCTGGTGCTATGAGGCAAGGAAATCTTGGTGATTAAGGATCAATCAAAATGGTCAAAAGTCCATGAGGATTTATTTTTTTATTTTTTAGTTGTTTTTATTACAATAAGTATATAACATAAAATTCAGTATTATAGCAGATAAATATTGATGGTCATAATAGAGTACTTATTGATTGGAACTGTCATCATGTATTAAATTAAGAATGTTTACTCAGGACGAAGATGAGAGAGTTCTGGCAGAGATCCTGTTTCACCGAGAAACTGGTAGCAGTGGTGAAGCATCCGACGCTCCTCCATTTGCACGACAGAGAACAATTACATTAAGTGTCCGTGAAGATGTGCCCTCTGCTGAGAGTGATGCAGAAAATACAGAGGTTGGGCATGCAAGTGGCAGCAACTCACTGAACAGACAAAATACTGTAACTCTGAGCAAGACGGATGTTGAAGATGAGAGCCTGGCAGCACAGAACAGTCGGCAGGAGCTCAGACAAGACACCATTCCAAGTGGTGAGGACGAAAGTTTGTGGCAAGAAAAGAATGGTAGTGATATCGTTAAGAAGTCATTAGATTTATCAAGCTCTGGTGCATCTGCTCAAGACATTGAGGTAAGGACTGCATTTATGGTAATTATCTTAATTTTCAGGTTTAGGTCAAAGGAATAATTTTTCATAATAAGTACTGGGCATGTACTGAGCAATGAGTACTTTAAGCTGTTTTCAAGGAGGTGAGAGCATACCAGATGTAGTTGATGTCATTACTTTATCTCTTGGTTAATGGTATTATACTGTAAATGAGTAGCATGTATATTAAATTGAGTAGTTGTTGTGCATCAAAGTATCAGATTCGTTGATTATAGCAGATGTTGTTGTAATAGCTGTTCAAAATTTATGCTTCACTGTCTTATAAGACCCTAAAATCCTGTTATGCAAATTTACACATGTAACTGCACAATTTACAAACCCATATTTAATTTGTGCATATTGAACAGTGTTTGGAGTAATTCTCTATAGTGTAGGAGAGTACAGTAGTTAGCTCATTCCCTAAAGGGTAGTAGTTTTTGCTTCAAGTAATTTACACTGCCAAAGGGTTAGTTATATCAAAAGAACAATACAGTATACACTTCAACAAGGGAAAAGTATTTTACAATGGGTGTTGTACTATTTGTACCAAAGAAACATTACTTTATGAAGGTGGTACTGTAGTAGTGAACTTAAGACAGTAGAGATTGATGTTGCAATGTAGTGCAGTTGTATTATCTGATAACTAAAACTCCCTTCACTAAATTATAACCTAATGTAATACAGTACTTGTTCCCGAGTTCTTAAAGTGTTGTTGCTTCATGGCATGAAGAACGTGTGTTGCTATTTGTATATTTCTAATGAACTTGCAACAGCACGTCTAATAGTTCTTGATTTTGTCTGAAGTGTAAAATGTTGTATTTACCAGGATTAAAAAAAAAGTAGTTTGAAGTTCAAAAGATTATTTTATCTGGATAATATCCAGGGATATATTTCATTGTGGACAGACTGAATAGTAATGATAGGCATCCGCAGTGTTAATAAAATAAAGTGTATAGGTGTGTATTTGAGGGTAGCAGGAGAAAGGCTGAAAAGCTGGGAGAAAATAATGAACGACTATGTGAGGAAGTTGGGCTGAGGGAGAACAGTTGCATGAAAAGTGAAATGTTTTCATGTGGCAACTCATTAGGAGAACTTTACACAGTCTTATGTGGTAGTGTTTGGTTGTGGTTAATTTGCTGTGACAGTGATGATGCCGGTTCATTGTGATGCTACTTAGTGTATAAGATAGGGTGATTGGTGGGTTATTTTGTATAATGTACCATTGAACTTCTTTTCCTCTATCGATCTCCTATCTTTACTGAAGTTGGAACTTGGTACTGATATCAACCATTTGTTAGTAAAATGAGTTATATAAAAAAGTAATTCTTATTATTTGAGTGGAACTGTGCATTGATGTATCTTAGTTCCAGAGTGAAACCTGTTATCTTCTGTATGCATCTGTTTTCTTCCTTTCTTCCAGGAAAATTAATATTATAACTAATAATCTTTACACGCAGCCGAGTGACACTCGTGAAGCAATTGTGAGCCTTCTCAAAGCCCACATACATCGTTCATGGGAATTACTAAAGTTGCAGAGTCGCCAGGAGAATAGGGTACCCTCAAGCTTGTTTGCTTTGCTTATAGCATTTAGATGACAATGAAATGCTAAGTTGAAATATTTGGGAGAAATATATTTTATAGATCATGATGATTAGCATTGGGTTGGATTTATTTTATTTGATATATTTCTGTTTATAACTGAACTATGGACTCGTGGCTCTCAGAATTCACATCCTTCGAGAGGGGAGTCTCTGACTACTCAAAAAAAGAGACCAGTGGTGATTTGTTGGAAATATTCAGTTACCTAACACAAGCTGAACTGGAAAATGGCCAAAAAGCCCACTGATGTAATAGGACTAGGCTCAAAGTCAGGGTCTTATCTATGTAAAAGTCAGTCATTAAAAAGGGTCTTGCCTATGTAAAAAAAATCATGTATAGGGTTACTAATATGTTTGGTTTAAGTCCACCCTTTTGTCAATTCTGGAAAGGACTCAAGTTATAGTAAACTTGTTCAATATATGATACTTTCTTTAGAGTTTTGTTGTGGGTCATATTGATATAATTTTATGTTTTAAAAACCTTTAATACTAGTGTTACATTGGGAGTTTTGAAGTTAGGTTTTTCGGAACCCCCTAACTCTGATAAATTGAATTAATATGCAGGTTGATTGAAATACAGTATGTGTAAATTCAGCTAGTGTTTTGTAGTTGATTGATGTCAACAATTTCGTTTTAGTCTCTTAGTGCAAGGTCTGACATGCTTCCTAGAACATTTTACAAGCTGGGTGCTTAGCCGGGTTGCATCATACTTATAAGCTTATAAACAATGAATTAGTTTCTTGACAAATATTTTAGATTATTTTAGATTCAAGTCTCGGTTTAGTTTTATGTGAAAAAATATTGAGGCAGTGATTGGATCGAATTCCAGGGATGCAAGTTCAATCCCACTACATTGTCTCAATATATATTGTGAGATATATCACATTATTGTGATTTCATTGTGCTTAGATTCGTATCTTCACATTGATATTATTTTCTGCAGCAGAGAGATAACCTGGAGAATGTGTGCTCTCTCCTTGAGTCACACATAGGGCGCAGTATTAAGGTCTACACCATTCATGCTGGGGAACCTGTACTGGTACAGTCACACTCAACCTCTTTCTTCTGCTTTATTCTCATGTTATTTTCTTAATTGTTTCTATTGTATAGAAAAGCTGAATTTTGTAATTCAGTTCAATATTGTGCTATTGTCGTGGATTTCAGAATCGTGCTGCATTGACCTGAAATGAAGTTAAATGTGTAATATCTCATTGAATTTTTTATATTTTTTCTGGACAAGTTCAATGTTGCATTTATTAGCAAACCACTGTACTACAGATGAAGCAGACTGTATTTCAGAACTTAAAACAAAATCATTGGTGATTCTCATGAAGGTGTGGTTGATGTACAGTCTTTCATGGTACAGTATAACTTGCAAGATTAATATTAAAGCAGTTAAAAGGCATGGTTAATCAGGATCTTGGTCACTTTCGAATTTTGTTTTATCTGTACATAATGAATATTATGTGGCATTATAAAGATTTTCAGAACTGCTTGTAATGCAAACATTCGTTAATTTTATGATTAATGAGTGTGTGGTGGTTTGGTCTAGATATTTTAATTTTAGTTCTTTTCCTTTTTTATCAGAAAATCTTGCTACTCCTTTCCTTACAATTAAATCCTCCTTCATAAATATTTAAATATATTTAGATTCATATCTAAATGAATTCTAAATAAATTGGTATTCATGCCACCAACATTCATGCTACATTATCTATGTACTACTGTACTTCACTTGCCCGAAAGGAAGAACAAGATGTATACTGGTACATTAAAGAGAGGTCCAAGTCACAAGGGAAGGGTTATACAACTTAAGTGGTAAGCAAGATCCTGATTCATCAAAACAAAAGTTAGTAAATGTCAGGAAGAGTTGACGGGAAAAGTTATCATGAGAGATTGTTGCAACTTTAAATATTTTCTCATCAGCTCCTGAATTTCCTTCTGGATTATCTTTACACCAATTAGCTTAAACAATAGTGGCCATTTCTTTTGCTCTAAATCTACAAAAGTAGAAGTTCAGCTTTTGCATGAATGACATGTCAGAAGAATACAGTAGCAATAGTTGCTGTTTGTTTCTGTCAAACTTTTATATAGACATCGTCTTTAGGTCTCTCAAGTGTTACGACTACCTTGACACCTCGGCTACTGCTTGTTTATTATGGGCTAAAGCTGCATTTAAGTAAATGATCATTTGTAATTTTTTTACTGTTTGGATAAGCATTTCAAAGGATTTGGATTCTAAAGCACTCACTAGAGAGAGTTGTGTACCTATTGAATGTCATCCTTCAGAGAGTATTTTGTAAAGTTCTTGCAAGTTATTTACTGAAGATTGTTCTTAAAAAATGTGATTTAGACATTTAAGCAACCTTGGCTTTGCAATTCTATGATGAATTTCCATGAATTTCCACACACGACTATTTTAATTTGTAATTGTGAGGTTGGCAACTCTGATATCTAAATGGTGTTGAGCAAACTCAAACAAGTTTATCAGCATAAATAACAATACTTGATGATGATTTCCCCAAAAATCATCAAAAGTACTTGATGATTTTTCCCCAAAAATAACTAAGATAATATAATTTTTCCCAAAATTGACGAATAGATCAATATAACTGCTAAATTTCACCAAATAATTAGAGGGATCCCGAGATTGATTCCTGGGTAGGACAGAAACAGTTGGGCAAGTGCCCTTTCACCTAATGCTTCTGTTCACTTGGCAGTAAATAGGTACCCGGGAGTTAGACAACTGTTGTGGGGTTGCATCTCGTGCACAATAGTTTGACCTTGGGTGACCTGGATACCAGCCTAAAGTATACATAGACTCAGGCTTCCTTTCCCTCGACAAAATGAATTATTCATTTTACGTGAACATAAATTTTAATTTGTTTTATATTTTTGTGGCAAAATTGTGGCAACACTTGAAATTAATTTAGTGATGAACATTGAAATCTTAGTGATACTTGCATTTAATTTAAATGCAATTACATATATTTATTTTGCAGTTTTCCCCAAACTGCATTCTGAATGGTTTGTACAGAAGTAATAGTTACTTATTATTTGTCCAAAGGTAACCAATACTTGTATGTTTTGAGTCTTCAATATTTTCCCATTTAACATGTCTCATTCTCTGGAGGTCTCATTGACAATCTACACAATGTTTTGTCCATGCCTCTTCCCGTCCTATATACAACCTGAAGGCTTCCACATATGGGACTGAAAGGAACCTTGTAACAGCCTTCTATGATGAGCTTTGCTTTGCATTAGTGTCAGAAAGGTGACTTCTGGGCTCCATTTATTCTTCTCTATACTGTACTGCTATTTTATCTTGAGGTGGTTTAAAGGATCTATGTCCATATGACTTGGTCTCTGATCAGGACAAAAATTAAATAGACTGTAGGTTCCTGGGACTGTGTTAGGTCATAGCTATAAAACAACCTTAACAATTATAATATATTTAGGTTATTATATATTAAATAAATTTATGCTACTGTATTGATTCTCTCTTAAACAAGAGTGGTAATGAAAGACCATTTCTTACACTTGGTACATGAAGATTAAATGTGATGGAATTATTAATTACTTTGCTGCTATCTTGTAGTGAAAGGTATTTTCTGCATGTTCACTGTTCTTTAATACTATATGCAACAGATTATTTTACAGATTGTATTTGTATGGATAGTTGTGCAGCATGAAGTTTATTCATTATTTCTAGTTGAAATACTGTACAAGTATATGTCACTAATTAAACTATTATTTTTAGTAAGGAATAAAGCTATTGTATTTTAGTAAGATGCGCCTGCAGCTTTGAAAACTGCATGTTTGTTTTTGTAGTTCAGTGACTAAACTTTTGATATTTTGAAAGTGTAAATTCATAGCTATCTATGATAGAAAAATTATAACGTTTTGTAAATATTTCATGGCAGTTTAAGTTCATTCAAATATTTATAATATTGTTGAGGTATAGCTTTATACTGAAACATTCATATTGGTGTTACCAATGTTAACAAGCCCAAGGTAACAAGAAATATGTTGAAATATCATCAATTAAAAATTACACACAAAATGCCATAATGTGTCTATAATAAATTTGTATTGTCTTTTTTTATATACAGTATATTTTTTTAAAATTGAAATGATAAAAAACAGTTGCTATGGTTTTTCTTTCAGATCATAGAGAACTTAGAGTTGTTACGAGCACTGTTGTCGTCTCATGTGAACCGTCAGCGGGAAGTTAATGAACTGCTGAATAGAGAACCACTGTTAGTTGGTGAAGGACAGGTAAATGTGCAGTTGTTTACTTGAAAGGGGATGAGAATGGACTAGAAATCTGTGTCTTCCTACTGAAGGCCATGTGCCTCTTTGTCCCATCAGAGTGGGGAAATATGGAAGGCATGACTGGGTTATATGATATTTATGATGGCAGATTGATGTGGTCAAGCTGCTGACCAATACTTTGTTGAAGCAGCGCTTGGCTTTAACAATTATTGTAAAGAATATATCACAGCATATGTAGATTTTAAGAAATGACTTTCATGGCCATCGCATGGAGAGCTGGAACTTGTATGAAAGGAAAGACACACTGGGTCGAGAAATTAGTATGCGGAACAGAGGTTCCTGTACATGGCAGTACAGGGCATTTATAATCTGCTGATGGCAATTTGCTTTGGGCTTTGTTGCTTCAATTGAGACAATAGGCTGACTGAAGGGTACTTAACTTACATCCACTTAAGAGGAAGAATAAATGGCTGCAACTCTCCCTTGGGCAGCATACACACTCATGACATAATGTCAAATTAGAAAAAGATTTAAAACGAGCAGTCTCGACCATCACCATATACCTCTTAACAGCCATGTTTCTGTCAGAAGTCAGAAAATTTGTTTTGGACTTCGACAACTTGCATCATATTTCTTAAGAGTGAAGATTTAGTAACCTAATCCTTGAAGCTTACATAAGAGGACATTATAAGTTTTTTGAAGCAGTGAAGTTTGTATTGTCAATCTTTGACAATTCAGTAACAAATTTGGACAGTCAGAACTGGAAAGTGGTCTACCAGACCTTGGGAGTGCACATTGAGGAACAGTTAACACAGCTATTAGCTGACTAGTGACATAGTGACCCGTATAACTACTGGCACAAAAGGCACATTAGGGAGGACTGTTCTTTGAAGGATATCTTCCTGGGTGGCTGAATCCCTGGTAATGATAGCAGTCAGTAACTTTGTTGCTTAAGCAGATGATGAATCACAATAACGTGGCTGTAGATATGAGAGCTATACCACACACCAGATGAGACGACGACATTTCAATCCGTCCTGGACCATTATCAAGTTGACAATCGACTTCATAATGTTCCAGGACGAACCAAAAAGTCGTCGTCTCCTAATCTTCTGGTGTGTAGTTTATTTTTCATTTGTTGCTTAAACGTACATGTAACTCCTACCCGTTCTTGACAACATTGGAAATTTCAGAGTCAAGCTTTAGTACCCTGTATTACTATTATAACATTGCTCTTACAGCTTGCAAAACAAAACTGAAAGATGAGACCTCTTTCTGACAACTCCCTTACCTCTTGTACTCGGCAAGGATACTGGAGAAAATTTCATTCGGAACAAGAGGCTGTAATCCCTGCAACAGTTGCTTTGGGTAACATCATCTTTGGGTCTTACATTTCATATTGAGAAATGGCACCAAAACAGAGGCCATAGAAGCCCAGCTCACTGCTTTGCCTCCAAGGTTGGGAAAACTAAGGTTGGGAAGCATAATTCTGTTTCCCTCTGCTTTTTTTTCCCCCCTGAGTACAACTGTATCACGAATTACATCAGTAATTTGGTGAACAGCAGGGTTGCTAACTGTGACCCAAAGTCCAAACTTGATCACTAAAACCTGCTGATCCTGCACAATGGCACTTCTACCGTGATCAACACTCTATGTTAAATGCTCCTTGAAGAATTCTGTTTAACTTTAAAAGTATTCTTCACAATACTAATACTGTAAAAGTCTGTGGAAAAACCAGAGAACTCTGCAACACTCCAAATTACCAATTTTGTTTCCCAAAATATCCAGTCTCTTGGTAAAGTCACTCATCATATTATACAGTACCATGTATTATAGGAAAAAGCAAAATTTGCATTTTATTTTAATACACAAAGTTTAATAGGGGTTTTAAGTGAATATATTTGTAATTTACAAGGCAAGTAGAGAGTAAATGATCAATATTTCTTTACTTAAAAGGGAACTAATGACAAGGTTGCTGTGCTCCATACGGCCATCACACTCAATGCTTACTTTTTGGGATAAATCAATTCAACTTGGAAGTTGGTGTGAATATTGTATCACAAAATTTTTTAAGTTGTATCACTACTGCAAATTTTTGTAAAGAGTTGCGATGCATTGTAACAAATTAAATTTTTTATTACATTGGATCTATAAGTATCTCATCAGTAATTAATGTAAAGATTCATATTTTCCAATCTCAATCAGAATTTCATATAAGTATCTTGGTTTAATGCAATTGACATCATGTTCTCTAAATATCCTCGATACCCTTTATTCTTTTACGTCTTTTACTCTCATATTTTTGTTAATGTTCCATCTTTATTTAACATTTATCAGACAAGTGTTTTAATCTTAATCTCAGAGACTGGGTGAGTGCGAAGAGCGAGCCAGACAGAGGGGAAGGAGCACTCGAGAGGCACCTGACGGAGAAGAGTCAGCAAAGGCGAGTTATAAACGTTCTCAGAGCTTGGTACGTCAGGGAACCTTCAATGTGTATGATGAAGACACCGCTGTAGCCACTATCCATGCTACCCTGGATGCTCATCTGACCAGGGTAAACAAAGTGCAGCAGTTCAGCAACAAATAGTACACAATTACCATCTCTGGTCTTATTCACTCCTCTGGTCTTGCCGCACAATGCACAATGAAGATCTCGCCACTAAATTACGTTATGAACACTTGTTATAGGCACTGTGGATATCACTGCTCAAAGTGCGAGATACATTGTTTCACAAATGCCGTGTACCTGAGCATGCCTTACAGACCATTTATCAGCAATGTCGGTGAACTGGAGTTTCCGGTCATGTCATAACTGGCAAGACTGGGAGGGCAGCTGCATGCGATTGTTTTGATTCAGTTTCAACCATTAATTAGTATAGAATTTGACATACTTTTATGTTGCACATGAAGTTAAATTATAAATGATCATTATCCAGTTTGAACATTTTACAAATGACAGCTTTATTTTAATTACAAATCAATCTTATTAGGCTGCCATTATACCAGTTTCAAGTATGATATACTACTAGTTAAAAATTTGTAATATTTGTTATACTGTATACGAATAGATCTACAGTAACCAGTATGCCTTTTAGTGATGCCATTTGCAAATTAACATGAATACTGTATATTTAAAGAGCTCTATCTGATTTTATATACAGTAAAACCCAAGAATAAGGGCTATGATTGCAAGGCATTATGATTATAAAAACATATTAAAAACTAAGTGATGGCAAGTCTATCACTTGCATAGCTTGCCATCCTCTTTAAAAGTCTGGAAAAGCCGATTACATTGCAAGGCTTGAAAACCAAGGCACAACATTCCTTGATGCCAGAGACAATAACCCATAATAGTACACTTATTCAGTCTTGTTGGTTATACTTGTAGAAAGCAAAACTTGCTTTTTGTCAGTGAAGCAAATTAGGTGAAAGAGAAGTAACCTAAATGGATCAAAGTATAATTTTGTTCCCTCATTTAAATGAAGGGGCCCCCTGGCTTGAAAGATGTAATAGGCTTTCCCAACTCGAGGCATTGTAAATTTCTGCACTTGTTAAACATTTGTAATATAGTTGAGATTTGAATTTTGTTATTCCAGGGTTTTACCGAGCATTGTTTTATAACTGTTATGTAGCAAAATTAGTATATAGAAATGTTGGAGGCATTCTTCTTGTGCAGCAGTTAATGTACTGTATTGGTGTTGTTAAAGTTGAGTTGATCAGTGTGAAACATTCTGAGACCAACTTTAGCTACTTTAGTTGGTTCTTTATTTTTCTGGATTCACTGCCTGTTGTTCTCAGTGATTTAAATTATGTTAATACTTTAAATGTGGCAGTTATATGCTGAATATGCACAAGTTTGTGAAGTCATTATGTGTTCTGTTATTATACTTTCAGAACTAATGTTTATTAAAGTATGTAAAATGTTTATAAAATATAATTGCATGCAGTTAAATTGCTGGATCTATGTTCAGATTTACTAACTTTATACAAGTAGTGATAAATGTCAGTGATGTACAGTTTGGAGGTTGTAAATTGTTTGTATGGCACTTGGTCACTGGTGTCAGGTTGAAGTCTAGCATGTATTATATCTGTTTTGCAGTAAACGGTAGGCTGGTCTGGATCACCTTAATGTAGGTGCAAACAGCAGACAGGAGATTGTCCTGTCTTGGCTGCTGTCCAGGAAATGTGGACTGCAAGCACAACATGAGCCCGTCACAAGAATGTTATCTGTAACATGTTTAATAAGAATATATCAAGTTACATCTTTCTTTTTACCTCTTCATTCTAAAGCAGCGTTGTGAACTGTTCTTAAAAATATGAACTCTTGGTATAAAAAAGACCAAACTGCTAGTCATTCCACTAGCAGCTTAGAAAGAAAGTAGAAGATATACTGCTATAGGAAAATTAAATTAATGCTTTATATGTCACTATAATTTATCATAGATTACAGACACATTCACAAAGATCATGCAAAATTCATTTATAACAATACATCATACTATAGCTATTGGATTTCATGCAAGTTATCTTTGGCCAAGATCATAAGTAATACCTGTTTTTCACCATGCTTGATTTTCACATATTCCATCATCAGGTTGGTAGGATATTCCTGAGGGATCATGACTGAACCATTCATAAATTATATGCTGACGATAAGATTCCCCCTCAGGGTCGTCGTCTCCAACAAATCTGTCTTGGGGAGACTCATCAGGGGCATAAAGGGCTTCAGAGTCATTGGGTGGACCTTGCCGTTCAAGTGCAAAATTATGTAACGCAAAACAACTTAAAATAATTGCACAAGAAGTTTTGGGATTTGACCTAAGTTCTTGACTTGTGCACTGGAAGCGCCTTTTCACCATTCCAAATACTCGCTTTACTTTTCTTCGAGTTGAAGAGTGAGCTCGATTGTAGCATTTCTCTGCTGGCGTCACAGGGTTGACGACTGGAGTCAACAAGTAGCGCTGACACTGATATGCAGAATCCCCTACAAGATGGCCATACTCTCCTTGTTCCAGTACTTGCTTTAATCTTGAATTTTCATATATCTGCCAATCGGGTACACTCCCTCCCCAGCGGACAATGGCTGTTAATATTTTTAAATCGGGACCAACTACTACTTGACAGTTAACAGAGTACCAGCTTTTACTATTCTTACATTGTTCTGCCATTGCACCTCCGGGATTAGATATCCGCATGTGGATGCAGTCGATGGCTCCAATAACATTGGGAAACTGAGCCACATCATAAAATCTGCATAAACAAAAAATAATTACATCAATAATGTTTAAGCCATACTCTTCCAAACATTACATGACTTGCTAATTTAGCAATAATAAATAGTTTTAAGCAGAAGGATGATTACATTTCTGTTGATCGTCAGTTCAAAGGGGGGGAACAACGTAAAATTGGGAAGCGTTATGGTTAGAATGTTTATAAATTAGAGTACATTTATATGTATGATCAGTACTGTACAGTATATAATTAAGACTTTGTAACACTTCGAAGTATATGCAGTTTTTGTAGTTTGTGATTTTCTTTACAGCAGCTCTATATAGATATTTAACTATACTGTACATGTCAATATGTATTTTTTTTTGTTCTCATGAATATGTCTACTATCGATCAACTTATTTTATTATAAAGAAAAACATAAGGTAATGCTTCGGCAATCCCACCTCTCCGCGCATTCCCGACTAAACATCCTGGGCTCCCTGGGCCACTCAGCGATGTGAAAAATATTTCTAAGAATTTTAAGTTATTTGGCAAGTTATAACTATAGTAATTTGGTGTTAAAATATTTACGAATAAATTCTCTAGAGAACAGATGCCAAAAACAAGTGCATTTATAATAGATTATGCATGACAGAAATGAAAAATACGAATGTTAATAAATAGCAATCGGATGACGTGTTGAAGCATCATTTGAATGCAAAAAGTTTTAATGAAAATGCAATATAAAAATTAAATGGAAATGGCAAGTGCTATACAAATTTGTCTATAATATAGTACTGTACAGTAAGTACTGTAATTCTCAAAAGAAGGCACCAAGCCTGGAAGACTATTTAGCACCATCTGTGGTGCTGAATAGACAAAAGTAGTGTAAATTATTTTATATAGTTGGGGCCTGAACATTAATCCAACAGTTATGGAAAGTTATAATAATTGATTAAATTTTTCTAATTCAAATTCTATTATCATACAAAAACTAAATTAAGACAATCAACTTTGAGGATAAAAACCAAAGCTAAGAAAATATTTTTCACAATACTGTACTTATAAAACAAGTACAGTACATGTAACTTGACATTATCCATGCCTTACAGACCCAAAATTTTATTATAAAGTACACTTATTAAGCATGACTTGGTCTAGACAACTGAATGGAGTGACCATGTGGGTAAAGCTTCACTCTTGGGAGGCCCTAAATAAACCATCCGTGGACTTCCATGATACAGTATACACAGACCCAAGGTAAAGTAATTACTAGGAGAAAGCCCTAAGCCTTTATGACTACAGAGAACTGTACAGTTTTGATTCATTATATAATTTTTGGGGCAGTTAAAAATAACTGGTATTTCTTAAGAGGAAATTAATATTACAATGGAAATTTTGCTGGATTTTAGTACTGTATACAGTATTAATGTTTACATACACTATGAAGATGTATTTAAATACTGTAAGAAACCTCGTGTGCGATTAGTAAACATTGGCTCAAAGGGTGTCGGTGCTCCGCTGAACTATTTGCTCCAAGATGGAAAATAATGAGCATTGTGATACATATAGTCTTTGATTTAAAACAAAAATTTGTACATGAACTTGACACAGCTATTGTTTGGAAGATTGGTGTAGTAAGTGATTATCAAAAGTAGGCACCACAGTGGGAACACTGGAGCAAGAGTTGTGTAGAGTAAACTCACAATTTTGGCTCTGACAACTGCAAGCAGATCACATTATACTAAATTGTATCTGTGGCAATCACTGCAGTAGCTTGCAGAATGAACACACACACTATATTATATTATATTATATTATATATATATATATTACATATTACATGCCGGGATGTAAAGGGGTGACTGCTGTAATGTTGCAAAGCATTGATTTTTGTTTTTTAGACAAAACTAGAAAAAAATAGAAAACATTTGAAAAGAGAACAAATGTCAAAAAGGTTTTTTCAGTTTATGCTAAGTAGGCTGCTCCATTATTTAAAAAATCTAATATTATATTGATGTCTTTCGGTGGTGGAATGAATTGATTTTATTTCCATTATTTTAAATGGGGAAATTCGTTTTGAAAGATGAGCATTTCACATGATGAGCTCGATCCAGGAACGGATTAAATTCGTTAATTGAGGTTCCACTTTATATATATATATATATTATACATATATACATACATACATACATACATACATAAAGTCTTATCAACCGAAGATACAAACCAAAAAAGATTTCAATGGAGATTTATCAGCACTGAAGTTTGTATACACATTTATGCTAGCTTCAGTAAGAATGTGGCCAGAGTCATAAACACTCATCCACCCCCTCCCCCAAGTAAGACAGAAATAAGTAACAGAGGGCCTGCCAGAGGCTTAGGGCCCATGCTGGTATCCCTGCAGAGAATAAAAACCTACTTGGTATGTACATCGGCAGCTTCAGCAACAGAGGGAAAAGTTACAAATTGACTGTAACGCTTGGCTAGGGCTTCTGATACCCGGTGGATTGTTCGACACACTGTTGGCTGACTGACTTGCAATCCATGTTGATCCCCAACAACTTTCTGGTGATGCAAAACATATATCTATCAATACCTGTAAACTTTAATATGAATGAAAATGCCAATGAAGCATCTACTGTACAAGAATGCATAATTACAATAGTAATTAACATAAATAGCCAGAAAACATTTAAGTTTTATTAAAAAATAAGTGTCTGGAAGTGAAATTATTGCCATAGGACAATAGTTTTGTTATATAGATGCTGATGGTTATTCGCTGGCATGCGTTCGCTACTTAAACTTCTATGTACAGTACTTGTGTACGTATCCAGAGATTAGTTCAGAGTAAAACTATGTTTTTCCAAATTCTACATTACATACCATCATTATACAGTAGTAGATAAATATGTTGTATTTCTTCATTAATTATATAATGCAAGGAGGTTTTGGGGTATGATTGAGTAGCTTTGGGCAATTAGATGGACCGTTGATCTCAGCTGGTCCTGACTCTTAGTAGGCTCGCGTGAGTCTCGAAACATGGTACATCTCCCTAAGGCATGGCTGGACCAGCACTTAGCCCAAGGAGCTACTGAAGGGGCCCCTCCCAGAAAAAACATACAATCATATATTATACATTACACTCAATTCTACAAACATAAAAATCAACATTTCACACCTGGTAAGAGCCACTGCAATAAAAGTGAAGGGCAATCAAGAGCTGATAGATGGCAGGAAGAGGCCGGCCACGGTTGTCAGAGCGCTCCAGATCCCCCTGGATCATGTTGAGCAGCTCACAAAACAACTCCTTTGACAGCCTGATAAATAAATATCCCTACACAAGATCAAATAAAATTAAAAACACACAAAATTTATCTTAGATATTATGATTAAAATGTTTACTTTACCATTACCTCTCAACCAAAAGATTCCAGGTTCAATCCCTGGACAGGGTGAGATGTTTGATACTAATTTTCCAAAAGCAGATGCCTGTACTGTACTGTATTTCTGTTTCCTCCATCCTTACACACTATTATTCACAACCTTTATATCTGCAGTCATCTTCAGTATATAATAGATGGATTACAGTATGAACAACATAGAGTGCAAGTGCCTTTTAACATCTGTAAAGTAATAAGTTTCACTTTTCCAATGTGTAGAAGCCCTGTTTGAATAGAGGTAGAGATGGTACCAAATTGCATCTTAAAAATTAAAGACCTCCATGTGTACTGTTTAGTTATTTCCAGCAGTTGAGTTATCATACAAGGTTGCACTCAAGGTGAAATATTACTCTTTACTTCTTTCCCAGAGATTCATCTTGAATTTTTAAACTAGCTATACTAACACTACATTCAGTTCACATTTCTTCAAAGAATATTACTTATTTTGTCAGCTATTTCCTACTTCCCATTTCTCTAAATTGTTGAATTCTCTATTTCCATTTTCTTTCTGTGTACAGTATATACTTAGATATAATTTTCTTAAACTTATGACCTCTAACTGCTTTGTGCACTTATCCAGGGCTTAGAATACATGACAACTAAGTTCTTTAGCAAGTATGCATGTTTAAGAGCAGAGACATCTTTACCACATAAAGAGATTGTTAACAATAAAGTTATTAGTAACATTGAAGACACGCAGACCCCCCCCCCTCTGCCCAACACTTAAAATTTACACAAAGTTAAATATGGCAAGAATTCACAAAATTCAATAACAAACTTTGGAGGACCAAAATATACTATCCACCTGTTTCAAAAGATATTAGTCAGGGGCTACTTCACTCCAAAACCATTGTTGCCAATGTCTGACCATATCACAACTAATTTTTAGATATTTAAACAAAGAAAACTACACATCAAACTGCATTGCAACCTGTATATATCTTGAAATTCCTGTGGGGTATATTTTGATAGTGGATCCCCAGGGTCTTGTAGCTCTGTACTCAGGAGGAGAAACTGCCGATATCTTCTCATGCGAATCTCCCTTCGCAGCATGTCTGTGCTTGGGCGACGTGATATGGACTGTGGAACATTTAAAAATCATGTCTCGTGCTAATAATGAAGGTAAAAGATGATACAATTTTAGTCATAAATTCTAAAGAAATAGATTACTGTTTTGTATAACAAGTTCCAAGGAGGAAAAAGGTATTTTAGGTATGATGAACACACACACACATATATACTGTTTATTAAATGCTTAATATGCCTAGTATAGTGACCATCATCTGCTGATCTGAGCCAATGCAAATATCATATTCAGTATCACGATTTTGTTATTTTTACTATTTTGTATACCAATGATGTTAATGGTTATTACAGCTCTCTATGAATGTAATGGAGTTAACCAAGTTCCATTAGTAAAAATTCTGCTATTGTTTTGTAATGGGTAAGTATGTGACTGAGGTTGTCATGTATTAGGGGCCTGCAGTTATAGTTAAATGACAATATGGTCTTTACTCCCAGCATTTGGAGCCATGCCTGGATAACATGTCCAAACAGATCACAACAAAGTAATTGGTTACAAAACACTTTTGAGCCATGACAGGAGCAGGTTTATATAAATAAAAAGAGGTAGGACAAGGGGACATCAGCAGAAGCTGGACATGCAATTAAGTCGAAGAGATGTAAGGAAGTTCTTGTTTCCTGAATGGATGGTTGGCAAGTGGAATGGCATTGCTGGAAGAGGGTGTGTTAAGCCAATGCCATCCACACCTTTAAGAAAAGTTATGATGTAAACGTTAATGCCAAGAGAGGCAGTTAGCACATCAGGTATAAAAGGATAGGAGATAGGCATAAAGAGCAACTGTAAATCTCATTCCTCCGTAGTCACTGAGAGGTAAGCACATATTAAAGGTGTACATATTAAATTATAGGTTTATATACAGTACTCAATCACTGTTTTGTGTGTACATAAAAAAGTTATGTAACAAAAACATTGCAATATGTAAACTAATAATTGATGAAAAATAATACAGATTAACATATAAGTTCTTTTTCATGTAACTGTGTCTGCAAACATTGTATTGACTCCTCCATCCATCTTCCTTCTACAGATAAAAAACAAACAGAAAAGATGTAGATACTTTTATTTTTTGAGTTTCTTATATTTTGCATGCAAATAAAATAATGGTTTAATGACTTGAATTATAGAGTTACTGCCCAAAACTCTGTGTGTTAGTGGCTTTACAAGATGTAAAAACATCAATGCTTTGTGCTCTCATAAACCCAATATACCTTCTTGTATATACAGTCTATACAGTGTACTGTATACATAAATAAATAAATAAATAAATAAATAAATAAATAAATAGAGTCTTTATCTACAAAACAATTTCATTGGAATAATGTTAGAGTGGAGTGCCTCATGAATTCATTTTTGGGATTAGCAATCTGCATCACTATATGACAGTGATGAAATATATCAACCTACATCATGAAATTTACAGATTACTACAAAAATTATGGAAAGGGGGACATTTTCTTTCATACATAACAATGCCTAAATACTCAAATGAATTTAATGTACTGTATATTTAAACTTTTTAAGAGTAACTGTATCAACATACATATTCCAAATTACCTGTATTGTATTGTACTACAATTAACTCAAGTGACCTACAATACCTATGTGAGAAATCTTGTTTTTATTTTTACTTTAGCACAGAAATAAACACCATAAAGAATTAAATTGTGACAAATGCAAATTTTAATTATTAGTAAAGGACCAGCATTGACAATCATAATCCTTACTTTTAGGGGATCATCAACAATTTAGTACATACCTTACAAATCATTTGTTGTTTTATTGTAGTGATGTTAAAAGAAAGAACTAGGAAGCTGCAAGTTCTCTCTCTCTTTGAGCACAAAACAAACCAAAACTATCCATATAAGGAATCAGATCTTCAATACGTTTTACCTGTAGATACAAATTTAACAAATACGTAAAGTGTTTTATTAATGTACTGTCTATCTATGTTAACATTTTCCCCAGTACTACTATCTCAAATATAAAATACCTGTACAGCTGTACTGTACTATATAACAAGCTAAAATCTCACCTTCACTTACAAGTGATATCTTTTCATATCTTACTCATCAATTATAATACAGTATAACTTAAACTTATGGGTACCTGGTTGTTAAACGATTTGGAGGGTCGTATTCTGGGGAACATTAGGATTAAGGACTTGCCCAAAACACTATGCGTAATAGTGTCAGTACAAGAATGTTATTATTCTTGTATATATAAATAAATAAATAAATTTTTATTTTATTGTGGGATTTACTTACCCTTCTGTTAGCCGCTCGTCAGTAACATACTAATATACAGTATTTAAGTTAAATTTCTAGTAAAACATGTTTTGACATTTCATTATTTGTGTGTTAACTTACAAAATGTGTGAAAACAAATGGCTAACTACACAAAATTAATAGAATAAGATTCGGGTGCATAATAATGATGGGAATGTTTTGTAATGTTAACTAATATTAAAAAGAAAAAAAGAATCTCAAACAATGAATTGGAACTCTTTTCTCAGTCACACTCATCAAAACTCAAGAAAAATGATTATTCATAAGGCAGAAATTGTTAACATTATAATAATTTATGTTGAGTACAGGCAAACTGTATATACCATACAGTACGACCTTGATTCAACGAACTGTATGGGATCAAACCCAACTTGTTGCAGTGAGGGATTCGTTGCATCCAGAAATGTCTCCAGGATGCGTTGATTGATGTCTCCACGCCCTATGGGCTAATTTTACATAACAAAATATTAATTTTAACCTATAATATAATAGACAACTACCAGGAGGAGGCTTGGTCGAGGACCGGACCGCAGGGATGTTGGGCCCCGAAATCATCACAAGATAAGGTTACCAAATGAACATGTTTGTAAAAAACATTTAACGACAACTAGCTCATTTTTCACGTCCCCAGCCTCAAAACTTATTTTCAAAAAGTAGCAGGGCCATACCTGAGTGAACGAAAACCTTGCCAACTCAACATGAAAATAAACTATAGAATTAAGCTTTGTGTAATAGTGGCTTTAGGCATTGTATGTACTAGCTCTATCTATATATCCATCAACTTTTTGTATCTCACCTTGTATGTATGTACTTTACCTGAATAAATATTTGTATTTGAAATGATAAAAAACCAAGAATGGAGCTTTAAGTACATGTAGCATATTTATCACACACTATCATTGAAACCTCATTTTCAAAGGAAAATGGACTCGTATTTTTTAATGAAAACTGGGAAATCTCAAAATTAAAATGAACCATAGAATTTAATTTTAATAATCGTGCAACAACGAAGCCTTACCTAACCTTTAGACTGTGGCTACACAACTGTATGTATATACAGTATACTTATACAACTTGATACAGGATAAAGTAATAAAATAATTAATTTTGTTGGGGGTCAGGAAGTCTGTGTATATAGAGTGTACCTAAAGTTTGTATTGCAGGTCCCCAAATGGTTCCCAAATGGTTGACATACTAACCGTCCCGAGGATGCAGCCCCAGAGTTCCCTGGGTACCTACTTTTTTATTTTATTTTTTATTTATATATACAAGTTCTTATATTATTGTACAGCCACCAGCACGCATAGCGTACGGACAAGTCCTTAATTCTAATTTTCCCCGGAATACCACCCACCAAATCGTTTAACAACCAGGTCCCTATTCAGTGCAGGGGGAACAGAGGCTACAATTAAGGATTGGCGCCCAGTCAATCCTTCCCGGCCAGGATACGAACCCAGGCAAAAGTGCTGGGCGAGTGTGTCTTACCACTGCGCCACGGGGACTTAATACTAGGCGAACAGAGGCATTAGGTTGAAGTGTCTAACCATTTCTCTCTTGCCCGGGGACCCAATCCAACATATTTAGAACACTTTGAGTTAGCTAGTGGTTCAGTGTTCACATGATTAATTACTCCACAAAATGTGCAGCCATATCCCCCAAGGATACCGTGGTATTGGTGAGATGAGCGACGCCGTCCCTCACACTCCCTCTGAGACTGGCGGTCACTTCGTACACCTCCACACATTATACCATTGTTGATGTGACGACTTATATTGAATTTTGTAACTAGCTCATCAAGATTGTAACTTGCTTAGCTAAATGAATTGTGGGGTTAAGTCCCTGAGTCCATTATGTGCCTCTGTAACCCTTTCCACTACACCCTACAAGTTGGGTATGGGGTGCATAATAAATGAACTAAACTAACTAACTCCACACATTATACCATTTCCGACACAAAATTAGTACGTTTCGTGCATATATATGTCGTACCTAGTAGCCAGGGACCAGATTCACGAAGCAGTTACGCAAGTACTTACGAACGTGTACATCTTTCGTCAATCTTTGACGGCTTTGGTTACATTTATTAAACAGTTTACAAGCATGAAAACTTCCCAGTCAACTGTTGTTATTGTTATAAATAGCCTCCTGGTGCTTCGGAGCTCATTAACTGTTTAATAATTGTAAACAAAGCCGTCAAAAATTGAGAAAAGATGTACAGGTTCGTAAGTGCTTGGGCAACTGCTTCGTGAATCTGGCTGGCTGCTAGGTACAACATATAATTGTTGTTGAATATGACCGAAAGGGTAAGATTATTGATTCTAACACGAATTTTCTCAATATTTCTAATGTTTTTCTTCACTGTCAGGGGGTAGTTGAAAAATTAACTTTCCAAAGTTCATTTTCACTCTTTATTTATGGTCTGACGCCTAGAAGCATGAAGCATGAAGTGCGCCTCATGAAGAACTCTCCAGACACCAAACAGAATGCCTTGAAAAAACCAACGTCGTCTATGCCTTCTCATGCCCACTAGGGGACTGTCAGCCCCAAAGATCTCAGTATATAGGCAAGACAACAACGTCTCTTTCTAGGTGATTAACAATGGATAAACAACAGGGCTAAATCAAGGAGCATATAATCTCCTCACACAACCAGACCATCACCAGAGAAATCTTAACAAGCAACACAGAAATTATCGACAGATACAACGACAACAGGAGACTTGACATCAGCGAGGCTCTACACTTCAAAAAGTCAAAACCAGCAATCAACAGTCAAGTAACACATAATTACATTCTTACCCGCTTCAAGACCCTGAACCAGCACAGACGCAAGAAGATAAATGTATACCCATGATATATACCCCATTGTTTCGTGTTCTGTCTTTTCCCATTGATTTGTTTTCTGTCACCTCACCCAAAAAATTTGTATTTCATCACCTCACCCAAAATCGAATATAATCACGATCTGAGTACTGTATGTAAAAATATTGTCTTTGAAAATGTAAAAAATGTTCTTGCGAAACTCTTCTAGACATCAGACAATAAATAAAAAGTGAAAATGAACTTTGGAGAATTAATTTTTCAACTACCCCCGACAGTGAAGAAAAACATAAGAAATATTGAGAAGATTCGTGTTTGAATCAATAATCTTACCCTTTCGGTCATATTCAAAAACTTATGTTTACAAGAAAAACTGCTACATATATATATATATTTATATATATATATATATATATATATATATATATATATATATATATATATATATATATATATATATATATATATATATATATATATATATATATATATATATAAAGATTCTAAATAAAGAAAAATATCTAAATAAAAAAGATATCTAAATAAAAGATTAAATAAAAAACACAAAAGCTGTTTTGTGTAACAACTGTCTCAGATTTTTAATTATAATAGTAATCGAAAAAAAATCATAGTTTAGATATACAAGAGATGAAACAGAAAGCCATGAACTAGATCGATGTGCTGAAAGTTCGTCCATAAGGAGTTGGAGCTTCAAGCAAATACTTTCTTGTGATTGGCTGTTGCAGGGAATGCCAACACTCTTTTTATGAATAAAATGTAAACTAAGAAATACGTCTTTTTACACAACAACCTTGTTGTTGTGCAAAAGAATAATAATTTCTGTTTTGTACCTGACAGAAATGACCATCTAACTGAATAATTTAGTCCAATAAGAGGGCGAAGTATCCAATAAGAGGGCGAAGTATCCAATAAGAGGGCGAAGTATCATATAATCAATGCTATTTGTATCGAGGCAACCTCGATACAAATATATGTCATATTATGACGTCATAAGTTAGGTAACCTCAGACCATTTTATATAACACCTGTTATATCCTGTAATATTAAATTATCAATTTATTAACACTTTTTAAATAATTAACACTTCAATTTTTGGGTAGATTAAAGTTAAAGCAGAATGTCATAAGCAGGGCTGCCCAACTAAGATGATTTACTAAGTGGATGGAACCTTTAGCTGATCCCTTCCTGTGATTGGCTGTTATGGTGAATGTCAACAAAGAGTTTCTACCAATGATATGCAAGCACAGGAATTCTTACTTCAGCACAACAACCCGCCTTATGGGCTGCTGTTCGGCTATTGATAGTTCAATGTTCACGCAACAGATGGCGCCAGGTGTATTTTGTAGGGTAATTTGTTATAGTGTAATTTGATGTCAACAGATGGCATCAGTTGTATCTTATGGCTACTGTTGACCAGAATTGATAGTTTTTTTTTTTTGCCGACAGATGGCATCAGCTGTATTATTGTTACTTCCGAATTACCTTTAAACACTGATCTATACGTCCGGTAGCTTATGATAATGTTTTACACCATGCAGGTATTAGGTAACTGGAGTTCTGCAATTACCTTTTTGTATCTCTTGAGGATATTTAAGACAAAAGTATATTTGAGGCTAGGTAAAGATGATAGTTACAAGATACGAGCTAGATGGTGTTGAGATTGCAAAGTCGGATTATTGCGTAAGGGATTATGATTAGAATTTAAATAAAAAATCAATGGCAATTTAAACCAAAAAATCAATGCATAAATGTTCGAAATAAAGCAAATAGGACACTAGGATTTATTTATCGAAACGTTGATAATAAAATACGCTGTCTATTTTTTTTTAATTAAGACTTTGGGTTCGGTATTAGGAATGGGGATGATGTCTAACAAAGCTGCAAACTGACACCGTTATCCTACACCAGCTCATGGTAGTGGTGAAGGCTCCAGGCTGGGGTGTTGAGAGTAGTGTAGGCTCCAGGCTGGGGGGTTGAGAGTAGTGTAGGCTCCAGGCTGGGGTGTTGCGAGTGGTATAGGCTCCAGGCTGGGGTGTTGAGAGTAGTGTAGGCTCCAGGCTGGGGTGTTGCGAGTGGTGTAGGCTCCAGGCTGTGGTTTAGGGAGTGGTGTAGGCTACAGGCTGGGGTGTAAGGAGTGGTGAAGGCTCCAGGCTGGGGTTTAGGGAGTGGTATAGGCTCCAGGCTGGGATGTAAGGAGTGGTATAGGCTCCAGGCTGGGGTTCTAGGGAGTGGTGTAGGCTCCAGGCTGGGGTTTAGGGAGTGGTGTAGGCTACAGGCTGGGGTGTAAGGAGTGGTGAAGGCTCCAGGCTGGGGTTTAGGGAGTGGTATAGGCTCCAGGCTGGGATGTAAGGAGTGGTATAGGCTCCAGGCTGGGATGTAAGGAGTGGTATAGGCTCCAGGCTGGGGTTCTAGGGAGTGGTGTAGGCTCCAGGCTGGGGTTGTAGGGAGTGGTGTAGGCTCCAGGCTGGGGTTGTAGGGAGTGGTATAGGCTCCAGGCTGGGGTTATAGGGAGTGGTATAGGCTCCAGGCTGGGGTTGTAGGGAGTGGTGTAGGCTCCAGGCTGGGGTTGTAGGGAGTGGTATAGACTCCAGGCTGGGGTTGTAGGGAGTGGTGTAGGCTCCAGCTGGGGTTGTAGGAAGTGGTGTAGGCTCCACCTCGGGTGCGAGGAGTCATGTACATACATTTTGTTAATCAACAGGATTCAGATTGAAGACTTTATTATTAACTTATTTTGCAGTATGTATGGCTTGGTTTATTCCATTATTTGGAAAATGAATTTGTTTGAGGTTTGGTTATAGTTTTCTATTATTTTCTAAAGGTTCTTTACTCTATTTTCATGTCACTATAAGCTTTATTGTAGCTTTAGTCTCTTTCTACTTAAAATGGCTTGGCTACGGGAAAAAAGGAATTTGTTTTTGCGAAGAGTTCTCACCTTTCCACATGTTGCTGGCGGCTGGCTACTGTGTCCTTTGGCGGCGTTAGACGGTAGACCAGTTGAGGGTAATCTACCCTGGTAGATGGAGCTGGGGCGGAGCATGTAATTGTAATGTTTTGCAGAGACTCCGTCTACCTGATAGTTGATACATTGCTTCATTATTGGTTATTATTTTCCACTCATTCCATTCCGCTAATAAAAACCTTTCAACGCTGAAGCCACAGTGCGGATCAAATCGATAATTTCTTGCACCGTGTTGCATCTGCGTGTGGTGGGAAATAAGTCTTCACTTTGAGGTAGAATATACCTATTGGGACACGTAGCTAGCTGAGATGAGGCTTTTTTGTTAAGTTTTGTTTCTTCAAGCTTCACTAACTGGCCGGAGGCGAGTCTGTTATCACGACGATGGTTCACGACAAGCTGACAATTGTCAATTTTACATCACTGGTTTCATTGAAGTTTCCGACATTCCTGTATTCATTAGTGGCGTTCTTCGGGATTGAACTGTCGTCCTGCAGCGCCATCAGCCCCAAGAGTCCCACTTGACTCCATCCGCATCAAACAAATCCAGTGCGTGGTGTTAATAATTGTGCACACAATAGTCATACTCCTTGTTGCAGTATGTCTAGAGTATTTTGGTTAATTGTACACATTTCAAAAGACTCATTACATTGCGAGTTACACAACACTAATCCACCACTCAGACTGCATAATATATGTGGAAATAAACCTTATGCATCCTCTGTTAAGGCTGGAACAACAAGTTTTGTGGCTGGGCCAAGGGAAAAGCACCTGTATGGCACTCTACGATACAGAATGTTGTATGCAACTATATATATCCCATCATGCACTTTGCCTATGCACACGTAGCATTGCTGTTTATTTTCTGCCGTATGGGGAGGTTCCACAAGGACTAAAATCGGTTCACACCGTGAAGGTGAGGTAAGGACGTAACTTATAGTCATCCCGTTCAAGAAATGTCCAAGCATTTAATCCGGTATGACATATTATCCAAAATTCAAGCCAAGTATTCCAAGTTTGCCTATTGAATATTATGTATTGCAGTACAGTTGGGTTCGTTCTCAACTCGCAATCGGGGATTCGATTCCCAGGCGGGACAGAAACGGTTGGATACGTTTTTTTTCACCTAATGCCTTCATCTAGCAGTATCTAAGTATCCAGAAGTTAGCCAACTGTTATGGGTTTGCATTTTGGATAGGGTCTGTAGTTTGACCTGGGGGGGGGGAACTCGATATAAGCCTAAAGAAGATATATTACACTTGCCCATCCTGCAAGTCTTTTATACATGTTTATTTCATGACATTGTCCATGGATCATAACGTTAACTGCAGTTAACCTCAGTGTGAGTGAGTGTAGTGGCCCTCAGGTAAATCAGTGGTAAATAATTTCTGTAATTAGATTGCTATACTTAGTAACATGATCACAAATATGAGACAAATAAATAATAATAATAATTCAATGTGTCAGGGGGACAGGCAGCCAGAGTATATAATTCCTATATACATGTTATCCTTAAATATAGTATAATATATACATGTTAGGCTTTTATCGAGGTTTTCTCTTCCTCCCCCCCAGGTCAAACTTCTGACCCTCCCCAGGATGCAACCCCACATCAAGCTAACTCCTGGGCACATATTTACTGCTAAGTGAACAGGAACATTAGTTGATTGATAGTTTAGTTTAGTTTATTTATTATGCACCCCATACTCATCCTGTGGGTGGTAGTGGAAATGGTTACAGAGACACATAATGGGCTCAGCGACTGAACCCCACAATTCATTTAGCTAAGCAAGATACAATCTTGATGAGCTAGTTACAAAATTCAGTGCACATCGTCAGTAAATAGTATAGGTTTAAGAATGTTAAAGACATTAGGCAGATGTAGATAAGAAATAGGATGTGTGGATCTACTACGGTTAATGGTAGAGTGGGGGAGGTTATATCAATGATGGCTACATATTGGTGCCTGTCACTAAGATAGGCTCGAATATAGTTCAGGGCAAGGCCTCGGATTCCATAATGGTGAAGTTTAAGTAAGAGGTAGTTATGGTTTACAGTATCAAAGGCCTTTCTCAGGTCAATACACTCAGTTTAGTATATAGTTTATTATGCACCACATACACAATCTCGTGTCTATGTGGTGTCACACAATGGGTTGAAGAATTGTATACCAAAGTTCACTTAATGTGTGAGATTTATTGTAGCTATGCAAGTCGACGATTTAATAAATTATTGAAAATATATGTCAAGGTTGCTGCAGGTCAATGAGTAAGTTCCGCTCCATTCCCTCTGAGCACAGGAGACCGGCAGCAGATTTGTTTAAAGCGGTCAAACTGCATCAGGTAAACCTTGCGAACAGTAAATATAAATGGAAAAATCAATGAATCAGATCTGTCTTAAAAAGTATATCTACTTACATTTTGTTTAATTAGGCTAAGTTGTTTACAGGTTTAAACTGGAGGTTTGGTAATTGAGGCACTCGTGGTTTCTATGGTGACAAGGGCAAACATCACGTCATGCCAGACGCCTCAAGTATCAACGTTAACCATTAATCTTAGTAGAGAATTTACATTGTAAGAACTATGGAGTGTATATACATATATTTACAAAAAATATTAGATGTTATACTGTAATTTAAGCAAAACAAATATAATCACACCGTATTAATAATTTATCTGTAAGGCTAAAGGAAGAACTTTATTTCAGCTTTGCCTTTACGCATTTTCTGCAGCATAAACTATTTTAACTCGCGTGACTAGCGCAAATTAGAGAAAACATTGTGTGATAACATAGATATACTATATATGACATAACAGCAGTCAGTATCTTATTTATGGTCACTCGGGACAAGAGAGAGAGAGCATAATTCTGGACCAATGGCAGCCTTGGGTGGCGTAGTGGTACAACTGTATTGGTATAATCGACCATCAAGGTTTTAGCACGCAAGTGGGTGTTGCCAAGCAACCTCGCCAGCTGTATTAATACTCCCGTATTGTATTTGTTGCATTATATTAATTCACTGTGTTCTACTGCAATGATGATGATCTGTTTATACAAATGCAACAAAGGGGAATATTAAAAGTGGCGGATCTGTGAATGCTGGTAAATCAGAGCATGTAAAGTTAGTGGGAGGAGGAGCCTAAGTTAGCGTGGCTGGTGTGGGCTAGTGTGAAACCAGGAGGCGAGGGGTATACATCATCATACACCATGCTCTGCCTCTCACCCCTCATACACTCTGGTACCTTGAAAGACTGACATGTGGAGAAGTGATTTCAATAGTTTATCCGATGACAGTGAGGTGATGGATGAGGAGTGTGGGCGGGTTGTGGACGCCAGTGATGTCACCTTACCTGGAGGATACCACACACTCGAGCGACGCCACCAGCTCTGGAGAGGCAGTAGTGGCCCCCAACACTGACCCCCACAGGCCCAGGTCCTCCCCAGGGCCCAGGAACGTGGCTCAGGGACCCCCAGCGAGGACCCCAGACGACAGTGTAGTGGTGACGGACTTGGAACATGTGGACGGAGCGACGAGCCCTCCGGCAGGAAAGAACCACACTTTGCATACTCATGGCGAAGTTGAGGGTGGCCGCCACGACGGGTACCAGTGGCAACAGGAGGTTGTGGCCACATACAGCAATGTTGACGACGAGGATCCCGAGGTACGTCAACCCCCTCGGCTGTTAGCCATGTCGGCATACACCTGTGCTTATCTAGCATTGACGACAAGGGAGTGAGGAGTCTTTTTGCACCCGTCACCTATCCATTTGCACCGCCAACTATCCTTTTGTGCCTGCCACGGTTTCCTTGCATTGGTCTCGGGGATCAAGGTCCCCGCGGCCCGGTCTCAGACCAGGACTCCTTGGGTTAAGTAGACGCTGTGATTCCATGTGTTTTGTGATCTGACTTCTTAACACTTCCAAAAGGTTTTTCTGTGATGTTAGTACTATCGATCTATAAGTTTTGCCTCTGCTTTATTTCCTCCTAAATGGAGTGGTGCTATTTCCGCTGTTTTATGTCGGGGATAACACAAGTATCAAGGTTGTCTTCAAATAATGTTAAAGGCCTGCGATAGTGTTTTTTTGCAATTCTTGGCAAATATGTAATTCCAGGAATCAGGGCCTGGTGCCGAGTGCCTGGCCATGCTTTGTGGCTACTTCATAATCATGTGGAGTTGGGGTGACGTCTAATAAATAATTTGATGTTGATACCACATTCATGAAGAATTTGTTTGGGTTATGATCTTCAGTTTGTTCAGGTTTCACTGAAAGCAGAATCGTACTGTATCCTATTTCATCCATTTCTTAGTTGTCATCTGTGAAAGTTCCATTTCCCTTGCGCAGGGGCTCAGTGCTAGATGTAGCTTTTGTTATAGATTTTAAATAGGCGAAAAAGTATTTTCGTTTCCTCTCTTTCACGGATGGCCTTTTTCTCTTTGCCTTTGATGGATTTCATATAATTCTCTACATAACCTTCCTTGTTCATAGGATAAGGTGGGGCGATCAAATTGTTCTGCGATTTGTTTCTTACCTGACTGCATTTTATAAGTCTTGTGTTTCAAAGTTCTGTGTTGTGTCTGGTCAGGAAGTTATAGACAGAGGAGGCTTGTGTTCGTCCATGTTTGAGGCTGCTTCCAGTACGCCGCTCTAGTGTGGTGTTGCGTAGAGTAGGCTCCAGGGAGGGTGCAACAGGCTACCCCCAGCACCAAGGGCTGACAATGGCCATATGTGGTCTTGCATGTATTAGTTATGAATTAGCATTTCAAACCATATTTATCGGTATCGTTATTACTGGCCATTACCGAACCTTCTCGGATACATGCCATTTGCCTCGGGCAAACGAAAGAGGTGGTAGGCATTCGGTAAGTTCGTATCCTTTTCTTATTTGTAAAACAAAAAATAATTTTATCGAAATATCATTACACACATATATATATATATGCAAACTGCAAAGCCCTTCAGAAAGCCAGTCATATTTATTTTTTACCTTATTCGATTCTTTGTCCACACCCAATTAGTTTTTTATTATTTTCTACCACAGACGTGGCCACCCTATTAATCCGTCGGTCTTTCATATCGGTAGAGCTGATCGGTAGAGCTGTGGCCTCGCTTCTTGTTGGGTCGATGTTCGATCCCCTAAGGTCAAAGAGGTTGAGCACCGGTCCTTCCCCCCCCCCCTGTCTTCATAGCCTATCCAAGTGGTATAATCATACTGGCTTGGCTCTTTCTCCTGATAATTTCCTTCCTTCAGTCTTTCAAATTATTTTACTGTAAATAGAAACTTACAATAAATAGAAACTTAATTCGTTATAGATACTAATCGTTACAGTAATGTCCTAGACTGAACATTTAAATAGCAGTGTAAAACAAAATGTAGTACTGTATATCATTATAGCATCAAGACATATAGCCTTAAAACATGTATCATAAAATTGGGATGATGTGAAAGAAACTTGAGGAACTAATATAAACTAAATAAATCATCACAACCCATGATCTCTTCTCTCTTATCTACTTCATTTGTTAAGTGTTCTAGTGCCCGAATCTTCCAGCAAGTTTTGACGACACCCGCTCTCTCTCTCTCAAAAGAGAGAGAGAGAGAGAGAATGAATTTATATGTTGTTGTCCACTCTGTTTCACTCTGACATATCATATCCTTCGTCAGTCCAGCACCGTCCCTCACCCCAAAGACAATTATGGTAGCTTGTGGATGGGGTGGGGTTACTTAGTGGGGTAATAATTAATGGAGAGTTGATCGGGTGTCGTCACGAAAACAGTACTCAGGTAGGTACAGGTCACACTCTGAGCATCATGATGCGCACTGGAATGTACTTGGTAGGCACGGAAGCAATTTAGCCACATGATATGCAATTTATTGTTACAAATTTCGTAAAGGCCAAGACGGCAAGACCAGTTTTGTGGCGGAGCCGGAAGACTCTACACCTGGTGGAGGGGCAGGTGGAGTATTAACTGCCAGGTGTTTGTGTACTTCATCCACTCCCAGGCCTCAAGCCTCTCAACCATAATCTCCACTACCATCACAATTATAACCATTATTCAGCTACCACAATTAGGCTCACGACCACCATCACCACCTGCACACTCTTCCCGTCTTCCCCAACAGAACTGGTGGACAGAGAGCGGTCCCGTGGCCACCGTCAAGTTGGTGCTGGAGACAGGAGTTGGGGTCATTACCAGAGCGTGGCCGCTCCAGCAGCCAGTCCACACGCTCAAGGACCAGCTCAGCAACATCACTCAAGTCCCAGCACAGTTCCTCCAGGTAAGCTCTACCATTCTACCGTGTGACAGGTGTAGGGGACAAGGCTTCTGTTGAATAGCGGTAGACGGTGTTACATGTATATGGTAACGTTTTCAAAATATTAAAAAATAACTAGGACTGTGTGGGAGTGTGTTACATTGGTAGTAACTAGGACTGTGGGAGTGTTACACTGGTAGTAACTAGGACTGTGGGAGTGTGTTACATTGGTAGTAACTAGGACTGTGGGAGTATGTTACATTGGTAGTAACTAGGACTGTGGGAGTGTGTTACAGTGGTAGTAACTAGGACTGTGGGAGTGTGTTACATTGGTAGTAACTAGGACTGTGGGAGTGTGTTACATTGGTAGTAACTAGGACTGTGGGAGTGTGTTACAGTGGTAGTAACTAGGACTGTGGGAGTATGTTACATTGGTAGTAATTAGGACTGTGGGAGTGTGTTACAGTGGTAGTAACTAGGACTGTGGGAGTGTGTTACATTGGTAGCAACTAGGACTGTGGGAGTGTGTTACAGTGGTAGTAACTAGGACTGTGGGAGTGTGTTACATTGGTAGTAACTAGGACTGTGGGAGTGTTACAGTGGTAGTAACTAGGACTGTGGGAGTGTGTTACAGTGGTAGTAACTAGGACTGTGGGAGTGTGTTACAGTGGTAGTAACTAGGACTGTGGGAGTGTGTTACAGTGGTAGTATCTAGGACTGTGGGAGTGTGTTACAGTGGTAGTAACTAGGACTGTGGGAGTGTGTTACAGTGGTAGTAACTAGGACTGTGGGAGTGTTACAGTGGTAGTAACTAGGACTGTGGGAGTGTGTTATAAGCGTGGACAGTAACCAGTACCATGTGTGGGCGTGCAGCTGGTGGTTCGCGGGAGTGTACTTCACGATAACTCGACGCTACGCAGTGTGGGCGTCGAGGCCAACGAGACGGTTCAGGTGGGCGTGTCGTCCAAGCGGCCTCACACCCACCCGCTGACGCTCCTGGCGCCCACCACCCCTTCGCTGCCCACTCCTGACGTCATCACCGTCATCGTAGCGGAAGGTGCAGTGTCTCCTCTGTCTATCGTGTCTATCTCTGTCTATCCTGCTCATCTTAGTATCTTCAAGCCTATCCTGCTCATCTTAGTATCTTCAAACCTATCCTGCTCGTCTAAGTATCTTCAAGCCTATCCTGCTCATTTTAGTATCTTCAAGCCTATCCTGCTCATCTTAGTATCTTCAAGCCTATTAGTTTAGGCTTGAAGATACTAAGAAATACTTGGAGATACTAGGCTCTCGACTTTTTTTTCTTCTTTATTTGTAAAAGTGTTGTTTTGTTTGAACTAATTGTTGTTTGATTTTGTTTTACTGTTTGATTTGTTTGGTTTTACATGCGATAGATGTTGCCGCAAAATGCGCCAACAATTTGCTTGTTTGCTGAAAGCCGATCATCAATTAAGGTTATAAGTAGTATAACATGCTACAACTCACAAATTAGATGTATCACGTGTTTACCTCTGTCGTCCGTTAACTTGGACACGCTGGTACAGCTATACGGCCTCGCTTCTTGCAGGTCGGCGTTCAATCCCAGATGGTTCAAGTAGATGGGCCTCGTTCTTAAACTCCGTCCTCCTATCCCAGCTCCTATCCTGTTCTATCCCAGCTCTTATCCTGTCCTCATATCCCCCTTTTAAGTATTATATTCATCATATTGGCTTAGCGCTTTTCCATAAGTAGTTGTGACCACTGTTCTTGTTCTATAATTCCAAGACACTTCTTTATATCAATTGAGTAGCAATCGTAGTGCCTCTGGCTGAGTGCTGTACTTCTGTGTTCATAAACACACACTATATGTAGCTCGAATTACAAGTGAAAGAAAGACCACTATTGGTAAATATGGTGCTCTCGTTAAGGGTAGTTATGCCTTGCAATTACCAATGTTGCTAACACAAATGTTGCCTGCAGATTATTATTTATTATTGTTATAATTATCTTTATTGTTTTTAATACGTGTATAAGAAAACATTAATGGTGGCAGCTATAACCATAAAAAACAATTATTATTAAAATATGTAATGGAAACAATAACAATGACATTAAAATTGTAATAAATATATTGATATTAGTGAAATAATCAAACAAGGCTTGTTAATGTAGCGTGTGTGTGTGTGTTTGTTTGTTTGCAGGTGGAGGGGTGGAGCGGGAGGTGGTGGTGGAGGTGGAGTGGGCGGCAGGCTACAAGCCCTGGCTAGGGGGCTACAGGCACAAGCTCTCAGGACTACAGTACCACGATGCCGCTACCCAGACCATACCGCCAGCCAGGGCTACTCCAGGTACGTCACCATACCACAACAGTAATGAGGATCAAGACCCGGTGGAATACGTTCGTGGTACTGTAGAAGACGTCAGTGTTGCCAACTCTTGCTGCTCTCATAATATAACCTTCTTATGGATCATTAACGATTGATTGATTGATGAAGATTAAGTCACCCCAAGAGTAGCACGGGCATGAATATCCCGTAAGAGAATTAACCTTTTCATACCATATTTTTACCGAGAGATGATTGATTGTTGATTGATGTATTAATAACCCCCCCTCACACCTAGGTCAGGTGACCAGAAGTACCCAGGCAGTGAGGGCGTGTGGGCGTGGGTGTCAGACTCGTCGCGCCGCCCACACCCAAACCACCCACTTCCACCCACTACTCCACGCCCCCACGCTCGTCCTCATCACGCCCAGACCATACTCTCCCACTCGCCGATATGATCTTGCTAAGGTGGGTGGAAGGTATACGGGTTGATTGTGAGCTATACTTCGTATAGTATAACATACACAACAACACGCGTAGCTTTAGCATGTATAAGTGGCTCAGCGTTACGTCTTACCCTTATAACAATAGGTACAAACCTTATTTAAGCTGAGGTTATGGTGAATTACAGTGTAAGTGTGTGGGTCTCCGTGTTTCAGATCCTGGCTATTCAGCGTGTGGTCCGGGGCTGGCTCGCTCGTCGCCGACTGCGGGCCCTCCGACAGGTACCCCCACCTACACACATGTTTATATGTGGCATTAATTGTTATATGTTACAACTGTGGCTTATTTTAAATGACAGGATAAATGAGGAGTGTTGATGTTAATCAGTGGGCTTTTGAGCAGGCGAGGGAGTCGAAGCGTGTGGCAGTGGAGCCCAGTGAGACGAGTAGGTCCTCGAGTGTGTTGTCTGACTCAACTACCACAACGGAACAACACAAGGTAACTCCATCATCTTACCCTTGTCACTCAGGGTAACTCCATCATCTCGCCCTTGTCACTCAGGGTAACCCCTTCCCCTCATCCCTGTCACTCAGGGTAACCCCTTCCCCTCATCCCTGTCACTCAAGGTAACTCCTTCCCCTCACCCCTGTCACTCAGGGTAACTCCTTCCCCTCACCCCTGTCGCTTCGATCCTATTGTATGGGCTAATTTCTCATAGATACTTCACGTTCTTGAGATTTCATTGTTCTTGTTACGGTTCATTATACAGTCTTGGTATAACCTTCCCACTAAGTGCATATGCTGTCAAGTGCATAATACACTTGACAGCATATACACTTGTAATACATTATGTATTACAACTGTGAAACAAGACTAGACTAATGTATTTAAGAATAATTCCCACCATAATAGGTGGTGAATTATAATAGTATGTGGTGATGATATCCCGTTTTCTTTAGACGGTAATTCCACTACAAGTTACGTTTTCTATGGGTTAACTTGCTTATACAACAGCAATTATCTGTATGATATATTAAATGGTGTCGGATTTTCCGACATAATTCCCCAGGGGGCTGCTCACGGGTCGAAGTCCTATTTAGAACAGACGAACACCGATACTCCTCCTCCGAATTATTAGATTAATTTGATGTTAGTAGTTAGTAATCACACATTTGTGTGTCTGTTCGTACAGGACGGATGTCCCGTACTAGAGTTGTAGGGTTAGAAGTCTAATGCGATTTCATTTCCCTGTCAACTCTTGAAAGGCTAATATTCAAGCCTAATTACTTATTATTTAACCCAGAAGACTGGATGTGATCAAGTACTACAGTCAAGTATGATTCAGGGACTGCAGTGAGATCAGTGACATTAGATATAACTTGAAGTTTCTTCAGGTAACTGGTCACTGATATATAAACACTGAAGCCCATGGAATACATCTTGATTAAATAATAAATGTATCAAATCAGTCATCAGATTTATTGGGGTTTAATTTAGTTAATTGATTCAGAAGATTGAATAGCTCATCATTAAAGTAAAGTATGGTTCTGAGACTGCAGTGGGTTCAGTGACATTGGTCGCAGTGACTTGTAGCTGTTTTAGGCTACTGTTCACTGATTTGCCACTGAGGCCTCATGAACTCATCTCCAGCTTTAAATGATGATACTAACATCAACCTCTGTTGGTATAGTCAGCTGTAATCTCCTTAGTATAATGCTACTGGAGAAATATAATCAGCTGACAAATTTAGGTTTCTACTGGTATTGTTTATCTGCAGGCATAGGTCTCCTCAGGCTTGATACTGGGCCTGAGAGTAATTTACCTCCTGCAGAGTTTAACATGGTTATGCCCTGATATTTAGTAGGGCTACCAATGAATCGATGGCAATAGTCTGTCCCTACAAGGAGACCGAAGTCGTTGAGGTGATCAGACTTAATATTATCTGCCAATTTTATTCCTCTATTTCTCAGGAATTTGGCTGTTGCTCTCAGACCTTGAACTTGTAGGTCTACTGGTATTTTGTCCACCACAATGGCTTGTACTCGACAGACGTACCTGCCTAAGCGTACTGATGGTTGTACCACCTGGTAGACTTGAGGTCCTGCATCTGTTACAAACCCTGAGATGTTGAATGACATCTGGGCTACAGGCCTTAATTGTAATTCATCTGCCAGCTTTTTAGTGATATATGTTCTCTGGGATCCTTGGTCAAACAACCCACGGGTATGGACCTTGGCCCTCTTATTCAGGATGGTAATTTGGGCAGTAGGCAAAGTCGTATTACCTTTAGACTTTGCCGATTGGACACTCTTTGTTGGTTGCACCTTGCAGTACTGTACTGTGGTGGGAATGCTATCTTCCACCTTGGGGTTTGGAGACGTTGTTTTGGTGTCTCTGCACAATGCTGCATGGTGTTGACCTTTGTTACACCTATTACAGGTGTGTAATTGGGTATCACAGTCGATGATGTTATGTTTCCTGAGGCACCTCGTGCAATGTTGCAAATCTTTGAGTCGCTCAACACGGGCGTCACTATCAGGATAATTAGAGCAGTGGTACATTGAATGTTTCTCATTGCAGAACAAACATGTTCCATAGCTTCCAGTACCCTTTGGTGTCACGTTCTTGGATGACACAGTAACTATAGGCTTGGAGGGTCCCACTGCATATACGCCCACACTGCTACTGTTCCACTTTGGTGTTGAATTATATTGTCTAGATTGATTTGGAGTACCTTTGGTACTCTGTGGTTTACTATTATTGGTTTCTGAGGTATACTTGGTGGTTTTAATTTGTCATGTGTTCGTAATTGATGAACTACTGACTTTAAACCTTCAGATATTTCATTCATGGATAAGATACTTTTATTGTAATGAGCACTCATTTGTCTCAATATGTCCCTAGGTATTTTCTCCTGGACAATTATTTTCAAGACCCACTCAGCCCCGTTTGTATCTGCTGTCAGGCTGAGGGCATTGATCAATGATTCTACCTCCAGCTTGAAGACTTGGAGTGAATCAGCTGAAGCCTCCGGTGGGGGTAAATGCAACAGCTCATGAACTAAATGTGATGTTCTTACTTCTGGATCAGCATAATTATCCTTGAGGAGTTTTACTGCCAGATCATAGCCGTCATTAGTTAATCTCAGATGGGATACTACTGTTTTAGCCTCACCTGATAATTGGCCTTGCAAATAAGAGAATTTACTACTCTTTGGTAAAGATTGTTTTGAGTCTACAAGGTCAACGAATTTGTTCCAAAATTCGTCCCAATCTTCCTCATCTTTCCCTGAGAAAGTGGGTAAATTAATTGGAGGGAGTCGAGCTTCCGCTTGACTCGTATTAGATGCAACTGTTGTTGTTGTTGCTGTTGCCTTGTTCTGGGCAATTAATTTGACATAAGGCTGTAACGTGGCCTGAGTGTGATCTTCATAATTCGCAAGATCAACCATAATGTCGTCTATTTCTGTTTCTGATAAATTAGTGTTGGCAAGTTCAGCCACATATGTTGCTATTTGACATTTGATTTGCTCAAATTTACCTGCAGCTGCTTGATAATAGCTTTCCAGGTCAGCATAATCAACTGTTGATTGTTGTGACAAATCTTCACATTTCTTGATCTGTCTTGTTAAGTGGCCTTTAAGACCTGCAAGGGTTCTTTTCATTCTCCCTGCATTATCCATACTGGCTCGTTGGTGAAGCCTTGTGGGGCTTGTACTTGGGCTGCTCATAATACTGAACAAGCTCTGATGGTAGCCTAGGGTAAATTCTGAACTCACTAGGCAATAATCCTACCTCTACTAGAGGTTAGCACTTAAAATTAATACACATTATATATATATACAATCATCCACACTAATGATTTGAGTGATAAACCAGTGTCACTGGAAGTACCTTTAGGTTAGCTCTTCTATATCACCCTAGGATGGTAGAGACACTAATTAATCACTCAAAGGTGTAATGATCATAAGTAATTTATTATATACACAACTCAACTCGAGTTGTTAAAAATTACACCCAAAATAGGGTCTGGACCATGCATTAATGGTGTTAGGTTGTTCAATATAGTACAACTGACTATAGTAATAATGGGACTAGGATGAACAATAATAGTTCAACTAGTCAATGGTAATATCCTACCCTGTTGTGGGTTGGCAATTAGTAAATATTATACTGTGATCACTAGTGCAATATATATTAAATAATTCTCTATTTTGGAGAAATAATATACACAATTATTGATAATAGCCTCTTAATTAGCCTCTATGAAACTTCTAATATTATCTAGAAGTATTAAATGTTATTAGTGACCTCGCGAAATAAAGTCCACAAAATTCGTGGATAATCTCTCGCGAAATGTAACACCACGAAATCCGTGAACAATCTCGCGAAGACACAGTCACTAATTTGGCTGGATTCTATATTAGCGCTGTCATTTCACGAAATAACACGCCACCAAATATCTGTGGGTGTGCATGAAACCGCTGACGAAGCTGAACTGGGCTGAGGGAGGCTCCTGAGCTCCCTCGAGGCTACGCTGCCTTCTTGACTGCTGGCTTTGTTTAAATAACACTGCACTAGTATATTTAATGAATCCACTGGTTAACTGGTTCATCCGGTACTAAGATGACCAAATGTGGGTTCATAGGATCAAATAATCCGTCATCCGGTTCGAAGATGACCAAATAATGTGGGAACCGACCTGTGAGATTTATATTTACGTTAATTTATATACTTCGATAGCAATTTGTATAATGATAAGTGGACTGTATTTCTGCAATAATCTCATAATCTCACAAATCGATCCTCTACACATTAGGGGGGGGGGGGGTTATTAAATTAATATATATATGCAGCCAATCAAACTACAGAAATATCTCTCATAGCGCCTTGACACGTCACGTGTGTATTTAGTGATGGATACGTCACTTCATACACAAGACGTTCACCAACGGATTTTAAAACGTACTCAGTTGGGTCAATATCGAAGAGTAACATTATTTCAACGTTGAATTAACGTTACTCTTGGATATTGTGGCAACTTGGTACCTAATCTACCCAACCCAGCCGAGCCTAACAGTCTAACCTAAGCTAATACATCCTAACCAAACAATTTACACGGTTTTAATGATCTGAAAATGAGCTTTGTCGAATCATTTTGTGTAGGCTTTGAGCACCGCTCTATAATGGTACTATTGCGTGCAGGCGTTGCGGCCCGTGGTGCCCATGACTGACCTATACGCTCGGCTGGAGAACTGGAGGAGGACCCAGGTCTCCCAAGTGAACGATACGCTGACGGGAAAGCAGAGGAGGAGAGCCCTGGTGGCCCTGCTGGAGAAGGAGACAGAGTTACTGAGGTCTCTGGAGGCTCACAGGGCCCTTCGCTCTGCCAGAAGGAGGAATGCTGCCGTAGCTCTGTTTCTGCACGAGGTGAGACACCTACTCACCAACTGCATCTGACATTATTAAAATAGGGTTTCTAGTTATATGCTGAATTCTATTCCTAACAAATTTTTTGTAATTAAGAAATGACGATTGTTATTTTAATTAAATGTATGAATAAGCTCTTAAATGAACACTTTTATTCGGAATAGTGCATGGAATCATTAGCAATAATAATAATAATAATAATAATAATAATAATATAACGCAGCCTAGCAGTTTCGAACATAGATTTCAGCTTGTGAAGTGACAGCGTAGGCCGTAGGGTATCCCGAGGCATAATATATAATACACTTTCCCCACTACCCATAGAAAATTAATACCCCCCTATAGTTCCTACATTACGTTCACATTTGTCTTTTTATATAAAAAGTCAAATCATAGCTGTCCAATCACCCGGCTTCACAACACTGCCTCACATGCTCACACATTATCCAGTGTTATAGTAGATGCTAGCAACTCTGCGGTCAACATCTCTTGGGTGTAACATATCTTCCATGTGTAGGTGTCGCGGGCCCAGGTGTGGGAGGTTGGTGGTGCCGTCGGAGGGGGAGTGGAGGTGGAGACCCCCGATACACAACCCATTAGAATCCTGGCGGCGCTCGCCTCGGCTCTGCAACAAGATGCGACCACAGAAGTCCGCACCCAACAGCTCAACCAACTTTGCCAAACCGTAATTTCCTTTCCGTTGGTTAACTGAGAAGGTATATTGTAATGAAGATGGTCATCATAGCACTATAATCAAGGATTAGAGAGAATTCACAGCAGTACTGTGGCAGTAGAGAGTAAGAGTACATGTTATGTGTGGGACAGGTTGAGCAGTACTACCCCAGCCGCGATGATGGACCGCGAACTTTGCGAGCTGCGGCCGACCTACGTAGTTTAGCCCGTCGTGGGGTGGAGCTCCTGTCCCGTGGTACTTCAGACAATAGGTTAAGAGGCCTTCGTAAACGACTCAATAGTTTGATCATCGCCTACCTCCACCAGGTAAATTACAATCAATCATTAGGGTAATCGCCACCTCCATTATTATTGATCCACTTTCACTTCTCACTCAGAACACTTGGATTAAACTTTGGACTTTGATTTATATGGTATAAGTTCCAATTTGATTTAATTTGATGTAATATTTTGTGCGTACAGGTACAAGGTCGAGTGTCTTCTGTGGTGGCGCCTCGTTATATCCGCGCCGCGGGTGCCAAGCCTGTCTTGCTCCCAACCAGGATGACCTCATAGTCTTCAGTCTTCATCTTTGTGGTTTCATGCCGAATATTATGCTATTGGAAGACTATTCTACAGGACTTCTATGCTACAGAAATACCATGCTACGTAACTACCAAATCATGACTTCTATACAACAGGACTACTTTTCTACAGGACAACTATGTAACAGAACTATTGTGCTACTGACTCTGTGAGTCTAGTCAGCTGTGTGTAAGCAACAGTGAACAGCTTCTAACAGAAGCACAAACATTCTGCGGTTTGCCAGCATTTTTAGAAGTGCCTCATCTTGTTAAATGTACAAAATTAATAAAATACTCATTTATCAACAGTGTACTTCAGTATTTAATCTCTTATTTGACACAATTGAATTGCCACAATTTTGAAACTTTTGTCGACATGTAGGAAGTTGTTATAGTAACAAGGTATAAAAGCAACTGCAAAAGGCCTAATTACCAATACGAACCAGCTGCTGTGGACTCAAAGTAACATCACAATGGATGTACCGGTACGTACACCACAAGGGGATGTAAGTCCCAGCAGAACCTCCCTAGTCAACGGTGTCAACTCTACGGAAACGTAGCCTAATATTTCACTAATTAAACTAGGTGTATGTGTTTGCTGCTAGCTGCTTGCATTAAGTGCCTACTGCTAGCTGCCTGCTATTAAGTGCCTACTGCTAGCTGCCTGCTATTAAGTGCCTACTGCTAGCTGCCTGCTATTAAGTGCCTACTGCTAGCTGCCTGCTATTAAGTGTCTACTGCTAGCTGCCTGCTATTAAGTGCCTAATACTAGTTGTCTATTATGTGACCACTACTAGCTGCTATTATGTGACCACTATTAGTTACTTGTTGTCAAGTGCCTACAACTAGCTGCCAGCTCTTATGTGCCTGCTGCTAGTTGTGTGACTACTACTATTAGCTGCCTGCTACTAGTATATTAATATATAGTTATCCTTCTTTACGACTCCGTTGAATTTTCCTTCCAAATTAAATTTCTTATAATATAAACTTTTTAATTGTGAACGCTGAGACTTGGCGCCACAGTATGCGCTTGAGTGACAAATTTTAGAACACACTTCACAGTAGGATTTTATATATATATGTATATATATATATAATGTATATACTATAATAAGAAATTGCAGGCGACTTTTTTTTTAATATATATTTTCTCTCTCAGTATATAATGTTAGGCAACACACAGTGTAATATATGGCAAAATAATACATAAATGATTTGTTCTCTGAAAGGTAGTGCTGGCTATAAACAAGCGAGATCAAAGTCTTGTTATCTTTAGTCAAGACGGAGAAGTGCGGAGCAGGGTCAACAGAAGCAAGGTCTTGTCACAACTTCTTCAACACGGATTCAAGTAGCAACATCAGCCGATGGACGTCCCCAGGCAGAAGCCTCTGGTGTACCTGGGGGCGTCTTCGGCCCTGCGTCGAAGGGTCGCAGGGTCGAGGGTCTTCGGCCCTGCGTCGAAGGGTCGCAGGGTCTTCGGCCCTGCGTCGAAGGGTCGAGGGTCTTCGGCCCTTCATCGAAGGGTCGCAGGGTCTTCGGGCCCTGCGTCGAAGGGTAGCAGGGTCTTCGGGCCCGGCGCAGCTGGTTAGAAACTTTATTTGTGTTGGTACTGAGGGTGTGGCGGGAGGTAAGGCGGACGATGACCAGAGGGAGGGCGTGATGTTCCTGTTGGCGCTTCTGATCGGATCATTAGCGCTATCGCTTGAGGTGTCACGAGGGCATAAATATTCTTTGCTAGACCAGCTTAGAATATAGGGGGATATATATACCATATTTCGACCGAGGCAAGTATCCATATCGAGACCAGACGACGAGACCAGCGAGCGTGTTTTGTAAGATGTTAGGCGTCTGCGGAGCCATTCAAGGTCATTAGCTACTCTCAAGGGGATGCTCTTATCTATTCTGATTGGAAAAGATGTGTCATGGTGCATATGAGTAAAAATATTGGTGTTCCTCTGGAAAGTAATGTGTTGTTTTAATCTGAGACAAGAGGACGTTCCAAGTGTGGCCGTAGACTTCAGTTGCTGGCCAGACAGAGATCGTCATAAACCTTTGTGACAGGATGGCTAGTAGGCGTTACATTTATTTCTGAGTGTCAGTCAATGATGTGTGGATGTTATGCGGGCATGTGGCAAGCCGACGCTGAAGTCGGCTTTGTGGAGGTTGGATAATGGGAGTGAGAGTTGTACTTGGATCGAGAGGGCCTAGTTGGTCAGTAGTCGTAGACCTCCTCCGTGCGCTGGGGACCGTGGCTGCCACGCTTGCCAAACCTGCAACATAAAGTGATCTTAATAAGACGTAGAAAGAGCGTGTTTACCATAAAACATCGAAGGCAGTCTTTATCGCGTAAGCACAGTGTTAAATGAGAGGAAAGGTGCAGGAGAGACGTGTGAGCACAGCCAACGATGAGGATCCTGCTATCAGAGGATCCTCCTTGGTCCTCATAGATCAACTATGAGGATCCTGCTACGAATATCAGATCGTAGCACAAATATTACAAGGTGTTTAATATAGAGAACATGTAAGATTGGAAAATTTAATATCTTCAATCCTGCATAAAATAATTGCATTCCTCACAAGTGACTGGAACTCTACTACATTACTGATGACTTCTGCACAATTAAAGCCTTCTTGCTGTACCTTGGCAAACACACAACACTTCACCTGGTGTTGTTATATTTATTAAATACTAATAAATATGGGTTATTATCATCATGGCCTGATATAACCATTTAAGATAATTATTTACTAGGAGAAAGCCTTAAACCAGTAGAGATGCATAGAACTTGCAAGGGATATGAGACGGAATGAAGAAGCAGTTCCCAACTATTTGAGCCATCGGGGCTCGAACACCGACCCTGCAAGAAGTGAAGTCGTCTCTCTACCAAAAAGTCCGAGTGAATAGACAACAAGTATAGTTAGACTGGGTTTACCTTGGTCTCCCAGCGATGGCGTAGTAAGCGTTGAGTGCATCCAGGTACTGCCTGAGCTCCACGGGGGACTTGAACATGTTGGGTCGGTTTGGGTACTGGATCTCCGTGGGACCCAGGAGCCCGGCGATGGCCGCCTCGTGCATGGCCTGCAGGGCGTCGGCTGCTGAGGAGTCGTGTCTGCCGCCTGACGCCACACCTGACACCAGTGTTGCCACCACCGCCGCCACTACCGTCCCTACCATCACCATGCCTTGCATAGCCTGCAACACACACACACGGCACTGTAGGCTGTTATAGTGACACACGCACATGGTGATGTAAGAATGTAGGTCAAGTTTTAAATTTCCCGCCTTGGAGTACCCGCCTGAGGTAGTGTGTTCGGACTCCGACATCCTTCTAGCTCCCCTGCCCGGGCTTCAGAAAAGTAAGTTATGTTTACATCGAGGCATCCAGTAATGAAAGAGGATGTAAAATAAATATAGAAAAATAACATATACATTTTGAGCCATAAACATTATTAGGGAAAGTATAATATTTGAAAATATTAGTCAATAAATACTGAAACATTCGGAAGTTGTTTGTAAACAACAGAGTCATGGCGGGCTGTCTTAACCCGAGGTGCGTGTCGAGAAGAGCCGGAGTTAGCAGTGGTGGAGTTGTGTTACAGAGATTCGCCACTAAACAATTCCAAGTAAAGTATGAATACATACCATATATATATCACACCAGCTGATGCTCCTATAGACTGTAGTCTTTAATTTCTTAGCGAGAGTCGTACTACATACAACATAATTCTATACATGTGAACAGGCCAACTAATTCGAGTGTTATGTATACAGGTTTAACTACTAATTTTTGTGTTGTTAGCAGTCACCTATGAGGGATCGCTGTGCCAATGATTTAATAGATTATTGATAATTTGCTTGTGTCTTAACAGTATTGATTCAATTGGTATTTATCTCTATACAGAAACCCAGGGTTTATTTAACCGTTTCTTAATGCATTTTGTCTTATAACCTGTTTAATTATTGACTTATTTTAATTATTCTCAACTGGCTAAGAATATTTTTCTCTACAGTTACAGTGTATATAAAAGTATTATTTAATACTTAATAGTTACCTTTGTCATTACTGTTTATACTTCAGTATTATTATCTTAGTCCTTACAGTTCTTTACTATTATGTACGTTTCCAGTTTATTATTGTATTCACCTATTCCTTCATCAAAAAAGATAAAATCTAGTAATATTTGCCTCCTCCTTATAGATAAACAAATAGGGAAAATATTATTATGACATTTTGCTGCTTCCTTACATTATTATGTAGGTTAATATGATGTATATATTTGTATGATATATATCTTAATATGATGTATGCATAAATATGACTCATACATCGCCCTTACAATGATGAGTACATTTCCCGATATCACGCACACCTGTGCCAGGGTGAGTACGACGGGCTCACCATAGCCCGTGCTACTTTCTACTTTTTGTTCCTAGTAGCTGAATCTAAAACAACAACAACAGCATCACAGTATTATGCAAACTATTAGCGATGACATACATATTTGACGTGTGTGTGTGTGTGTGTGTGTGTGTGTGTGTGTGTGTGTGTGTGTGTGTGTGTGTGTGTGTGTTGTTATTGAGAACAGGAACGGCGCTAAGCCTTATGTGCCCTGCCAATTCGTGTGTGTGTGTGTGTACTTAGTTGTGCTTGCGGGGGTTGAGCTTTGGCTCTTTGGTCCCGCCTCTCAACCCTCAAACACAACAGTGTGTGTTTCTATTCCCGTTTTCTCACCATCACCAATATTTTCCCTCCCTTTTTGGCGGCGGTGACCAGGAAGGAGCCGCTGCCCCTACTGGTACTAATATTAACCTATTCATTACTATAATGACGCGACCCCATCACTCACACGGTGGTGGGGGGGGGGGCAGGCTCACCTTATTTTAGTTACTCTGTTGCCATTCTATGTGTACTATATTGATCTCTGCTCTCGTGTACCTACAGTATTATTCTCCCCCCTTATCATGTTATAATGAAATCAATACCATCTGTTTGTCTTGTGTAAATTGGTGCACGAAATGGCTTCAGGATATTTATTATTTCGTAATCGTCGTTGATTATCGTATCATCCGTCAAGACCTGTTGCCCGATATGGTTATCGTATCATCCGTCAAGCCCTACCAGATTATATGATGTATTTTATTGCACAATATATTTGGTTATAGTCAAACTTTGTAAAGGTATTCCCCCTGGGATATACTGAAATGTAGTAAGATAACTCTGGAGTTGGTTCAGGTATAAGGTCAGGTAAAGGGAGAAGGATTAATGTAGTCTCGTTTGTGTTAGCAGTGTGCCAGAGACGACCACTAACTAGTATATGAGGCGGTCAGAGTAACTGGATATTAACAAAAAAGTATATATATATACATTGACATGCGTTCAATTTTTATGAGTGTACGTACACTGAGAGTTACGTTCTGGTGTACGTTCAGGACTGGAGTGTACTTGCTGGTCAGTAAGCAATTGTGTGGCTTTAATAACACATTAAACCAAAAAATAGTAACGGGGATCCACGGTTCATTGCAAGCCTCTTTATTAAGGTGGAGGGTGCCACTACGGTGCCATAAGCTTAGGCCTCAGTGCCATCGACACGCAAGCATTCTTCACTATTTGCTCTCCCACCTGTTGATGTGGTATAGTCAATATTGGTACACCATTGTCGGGGAGCAGGAAGCTTGATAGGAACATCAAAGTTCTCTCTATCCACTGGCCATGTATGAGGGAGGACTAGTGTGGATTTGTAGGTGAGGGGGGAGGGGTGGGTGCCCTTGCCTCGTCCCCAGCACCCCTAGCCTATCCATAGGGCTTCCACCCATTGCCAAGAGCACCCATTTCTCTAGTATGCATTCCCATGATTTACCCTTCCCCCCAATACCCAGAACACACTTCTTCACAAACCGCCCCCATTCTCCACCTTCTTGTCACGACCTTCATGCTGAATTCAGAGCTATGATGCTCAAAGGGCGAGTGTATTGGTATGTGTATGGTACCGTTGTGGTGGTGGTAGTGGTGGTAGTGAGGGACCAGGTAACAGTCGCCTGAGCAAGACAAAGGCTGGCCGGGCCGGGTCCTCCGTCTTCATCTCAGGCCAAGCTCTTCCCGGCCAGTGATGTCAGCACTGAGGCAGCTCAGTGGCAGGCGGGGGGTCCAAGGGAGGGGTGAGGTGCAGGGAGGGAGAGATGTTCATGGATGGGGAGAGGGAGGGGGGTGGGTGGGTGAGAAGGGGATTAAATGGTAATAAATGGGAAGGCCAGTGCGGAGGGTCACCAGTGTTAAAGAGAGTGTGTGGGGACTCTCTCCTTGGTCACCACCAGGGACGGTGAGGTGTATAGTCAGTGGTGAAGGTCATGCCACGAAGGTGCGACAGGGCGGGGAAGGAGGGGTGGGGAAAGAGGGTAATTTCCCTGAACAAGACTGTTGTGCAAAACGGAAAGAATATCCCATAAAAGTTTGCCGAGTTAAAGATTCCCTAAAAGAGGGTCGAGGTTAGTGTGTGTGTGTGTGTCTGGCCTCACCTGTTTGTACTCCCCTATCTCGGTCTCTAAGATCGAACTTTAGCTCTTGTACCCCGCCTTTCCTCCCCTCCCCTCTATTGTAATGATGTCCGACTCTCTTTTCGTAAATGATGCTTTCAATTTTGTCTAAAGTTTGCGTGTACTATCACGTAGTCTTGTGTATTCTATCTTCCTGCTTCTAAGATAAATTTGTATCTTTTACATCCGTATAATTTACCTTTCTAATTCCTTCTCTTTACATTGATATTGATTGTAAACGTTGGTTCTTCTTCTTATTAATTCTCCTAAGTATTTTATGTCTCTATCCAGTCTCTCTATCTTCCCTGATCACAGCATCTCTTGATCTGACAATATAAAGAAATGCAACTGGTTTTTCCTAACCTGAAAGCAACCCAGCTAACCTGAAAGCAACCCAGCTAACCTGAAAGCAACCCAGCTAACCTGAAAGCAACCCAGCTAACCTGAAAGCAACCCAGCTAACCTGAAAGCAACCCAGCTAACCTGAAAGCAACCCAACTAACCTGAAAGCTACTAACCAGAATAGTACAGTTTGGTTCGTACTCCAATCACAATCGGGAATCCCGGGTTCGGATCGCTGGCGCGACAGAAACGGTTAGGACTGCTTCCTATCATCTATTGTCTTTGTTTACCTAGTAGTAAACAGGTCCTGGTGAGTTAGTCAACAGTTGCGGGGTTGGGTCCTGGAGAGGGTGTGCACTTCCCTGGCGCGCGACGGTAATTGTGGCGGGAAAGGTGTAATGAGAATGGAGGTAGGGAAGAGGACGGGTTCAGACTCCGCCGCACCTCTAACTTTAAATTAATACCTCCCATGGAGTTCTAAAGCCATCTTCCCAACGTCCTTACTATCTCCATCACTCCCTGTTTTCCTAGTTACTTTCTCCTTCCCTGGCTCTCTCTCTCTCTCTCTCTCTCTCTCTCTCTCTCTCTCTCTCTCTCTCTCTCTCTCTCTCTCTCTCTCTCTCTCTCTCTCTCTCTCTCTCTCTCTCTCTCTCTCTCTCTCTCTCTCTCTCTCTCTCTCTCTCTCTCTCTCTCTCTCTCTCTCTCTCTCTCTCTCTCTCTCTCTCTCTCTCTCTCTCTCTCTCTCTCTCTCTCTCTCTCTCTCTCTCTCTCTCTCTCTCTCTCTCTCTCTCTCTCTCTCTCTCTCTCTCTCTCTCTCTCTCTCTCTCTCTCTCTCTCTCTCTCTCTCTCTCTCTCTCTCTCTCTCTCTCTCTCTCTCTCTCTCTCTCTCTCTCTCTCTCTCTCTCTCTCTCTCTCTCTCTCTCTCTCTCTCTCTCTCCTCTCTCTCTCTCTCTCTCTCTCTCTCTCTCTCCTCCTCTCACTCTCCTCCTCCCTGCCTCCCGCACTCTCTCCCTCCCTCACTCTCCCGCTTCCTGCCTCCCTCACTCTCTCCCTCCCTACTTCCCTCACTCTCCCCCTCCCTGCCTCTTTCAGCGACTTGTGTGAGACGGACAAATGTGCTTCAGGGCGAGGCAGTATTTCACTTAAGTTCAGGGACCAGCGACTATTTGTTTTCGTTCGTAGAGCAAGTAACTCCACCGGGTTCCCACGCCCCTCGCCTCCTTCCTTAAGGATTCTTTCATCTTGCTGAAGTATGTAGAGCAGTTTGTCCAGTATGTGGAAGAATGTACATGATTTGTGGAGTGGCTGGTGTATGGAGGAACCCACGCTCCCCTCACATACTATATACATAGTATGTTTATAGTATTTATAGGGAAATTGCCTAGAATGTTGAGAAAGGTGACAGTGGTAG